GTTCAGCATAAAGTTTATTATCACTCATCATAAGAACCTGAAATTAGATTCCCTAATCCTACCATCTAATGTAGAAATCAATACAAACACACACATCACTTCTTATTTGCACAATTGTAACTGGTGACCAAGAAACTTCTTCAGTTTGACTATAACGTCTGAAACATGCTTCAATCACAACATTTCCTAGAACTTGGTTATTTCAAATCACCAACTCCCCAAGCCCACGGTTTGCTTGGTCTGAATGGGCAACCATACCTTCTTCAGGCAAAGTTCACATACAGCAGTCCGCAGGGCTCTTCCCGGGGCATCTGTGATGTTCAAAAGGGCTAAAGTCGGGGGGCAGATTCTTCCTAGGCACATGGGGCAGGTGGAGCTATTTCGTTTTATTTACCAGGAGTCTGAAGCCCAGGTGACCCAACAGAGAGTATTTTTTTTAAGATTTTATTTATTTATTTTTAGAGAGAGGGGGATGGAGGGAGAGAGGAAGAGAAACATCAGTGTGTGGTTGCCTCTTGTGCGCCCCCTACTGGGGCCCTGGACTGCAACCTAGGCATGCGCCCTGACTGGGAATGGAACCTGCAACCCTTTGGTTTGCAGGCCCGCACTCAATCTACTGAGCCACACCGGCCAGGGAGAGAGTGATTTTTATTAGAAAGAAATGGGCCCTGGCTGGGTGGCTCAGTTGGTCAGAGTGTTTTCCTGTACACCAAAAGGTGGTGGGTTTGATTCCCGATCAGGGCACAAGCTTATGCTGCTGCAGGTTCAATCTCTGGTTGGGCACATACGGAAGGCAATCAATTGATATTCCTCTCTCATTTCAATGTTTCCGTCTCTTTCCAATCAATAAGCATATCCTTAGTGAGGATTAAAATAAAGAGAGAAACTGACTTGTTTCAGGAGCCCACTTTACAATCGAGAACCCCGAGGGGCCTGTTCAGCTCTCGGATGAGCAGTGATGTGAACTCAGAGTGGTGGAAAGTGTCCTCCTCGTAAAAAGGGAAACCTGGAGGTAGGTCAGTGCGCTCCTCCTGCTCCCAGTTCCAGTAAACGATGCCTGGCAGTCACACGACCCGCACCAGGGATGTTTGGGGACTGACCCTTCCGATCCAGGCAGAAAGCCATCCCCCGTGAGATGAGTTTTGTCCTAGAAGCAAAACTGGCGACTCCGTTGCCGTGTTTCCCCCTCAGTCTTCCCTCGCCTCGCCCCAGCGGGTTCCAAGTCCGATTGCGTCAAAGACGTACACAAAGCTGCTCCTGCCTTCCCAGTTCCTCTTTGGTTTGCGTTAGGGTAAGAGTTTGTGTGGTTTTTGTCCATGATGTCCTGGCTGGTCAGGAGATGAGGAGGCAGGTTCTGGTTTAGACCAAGCCTCGTCTCAGTAACTGCAGAGCAGACTTGGCCTGCAAAGGTCGCCAGCTCGAAGGGCACCCCTGGCCGATATGTCACCAGGTCTGCCGACTGCCCATGGTTGGTTCCGGGTCAGACTCTGAGCACGGTTTATGTGATGAGCCCCTTTTTTGCCCAAATTTTTGGGGATAAATAAGGATGTGCATTATATTTGGGTATAACAATTAAATAACATGGGGTGTATTGATGGGTATAAGAATCCCATGTATAATGCACAGAAAAACATGGGTGCACACTGTAGACGGCAAAATACGGTACCCGGTTTTCCTGGCCAGCACTTATTCTTCCCTCCTCAGTCTTTATTCAGATGGCCTGTCCCCAGGTGCCCACAATGAGATGAATGCACAAGAAGTAGCACCCACTGGAATGAAAATTGTCCTACATCAGAACTAGGTCAAAGTCTGTGGACTCTTCCAGTAGATACTCCTTCTGGGAATAGTTTACATTCTTGGTAACACGCTCCAGCAATGTTCTGATTTATTCTAATGAGCTTAAAACCCTCACATAGAAAACCCGCCCAGCTGATAGCCAGCCTTGGGAGTTGAATAAGGGCTGAACATTTAAGACGACATCTTATTCCCTGGCTGGTGTAGCTCAGTGGATTGAGCGCGGGCCTGCGAACCAGGATCGAGGTTCAATTCCCAGTCAGGGCACATGCCTGGGTTGCAGGCCAGTTCCTTGCAGGCCAGCTCCCAGCAGGGAACGCACTAGAGGCAACCTTACATTGATGTTTCCCTCTCTCCTTCCCCTCTAAAGATAAAGAAATAAAATCTTTAAAAAAAAGAAGGCATCTTATTGTGTCCAACCTAACAATGGTTACGTCCTTATTTTTTTCCCTCACATCGTTATCAAGAGGGGGGCCCGGTTTGAATGAACTCTGACCTGCTCTGTAAACCCCAGAAGCTCTTTTCAAATATACTTCAGGATGTCCAAACATGTGACAGAGACTCTGAGGGCAGGAAGAGGAGGTGACTTCCTGAAGGACACAGATCACAGGGCACAGATAATGGACGGGGCAGAGGTGACCTGGGTCGGGGGTGGAGGGTCGGGGGGTGAGCATGGTGAAGGCTGGAGGGTTGGGGAGAACTTTTGATCTGAGGGCCCGAGGGTGACAGGCGGCAGCTTGCCGAGTGCAGCCAGCAGCGGTGTGGGAGTGACCCGGGCAGCCGTGAGTCCTGCGTAAGACGGACAGAAGGGGTCGGGCCCAGGGGCCCTGCGCCCAGCGAGAGCCAGGAGGACAGAGGAAGGAACCGGGCATCCCGGTGTTGAGTCCCCTTCAGTCAACGGGGGAGAAGAGGCTGGGAGCCCAAACACCCACCCAGGTCAGCCGCCCGGGGAGGGGCGACTGCCACGTAGCAGCTGCTCCCTGAAAGGGGATCTTTCTTCCTCTGTCTTAGAGCTGAGAACCCAGAGTCTCCTAGTCCCTCCTCCTTTTGTTACAACATTTCCTAAAGTGGAGCTCTCGCAAGTCCGTCTGCCCCTCCCCCTCCCCCTGGCTTCTCAGGCTGGCTCAGCCTGGCCCTCCCTCATCCCTCCCAGCATGCTCTCCACCTCCACCTCCACCTCCACCTACTTCTGCTCCGACTTTGATGACCAGCAAAGAGCTGGTGAATGACTGCCCAAGAACACTTTGCTGGAATGGAGACATCTCGGCACCAAGGCCTTTCCGCCTTTGCGACCTCTGCCCCAAAGGCCTCTTCCAGCTCCCACCTTCTCACTTCTCCAAACTCTGCCCCCGCCCCCTGGCTTCTGGAGGGCTGCCTCCCGATCCTCGCACTGCCCTTCAGGGGCCCCCTGCCCAGACTGCTTCCCCGCCCCCAGCTCTCTGGGTTCACCTCATATCTTCTCTCCTCGTTTTTGTTTAGTTATTATTTATTTTCAGAAGGAAGGGAAGGGAAGGAGAGAGAGAGAGGGAGGGAACATCAATGTGAGAGAGAAACAATGATCTGTTGCCTCCTTATCGCACCACTGACCTTGAACTGAACCTGCAACCCAGGCACATGCCCTGATCAGGAACCAGAGACCTTTACTTCTGTGGCACGGTGCCCACCCCACTGAGCCACACCGGTCAGGGCCTCCCTCCTCATTTTTAACCCTTGCTGGGAGAACCGTCTCCACCCACAGGCCGTGAGTTACACACATGTGATGTATTTGCCTGTCACGTCTTTGTGTCTGGCCCAGACCTGCCTCCTGACCATCGGGACTATCACCCAAGTCTTCGGCACTGGGAGTCAATAGAACTTCAAAAGAAACAGTCCATGCCCTGGCTGCTGTAGCTCAGTGGATTGAGTGCGGGCCTGTGAACCCAGGGGGGACTGGTTTGATTCCCTATCAGGGCACATGCCTGGGTTGTGGGCCAGGTCCCCAGCAGGGGGTGCACAAGAGGCAACCACACATAGATGTTTCTCTTCCTCTCTTTCTCCCTCCCTTCCCCCCTCTCTAAAAATAAATAAATAAAATGTAAAAAAAAAAAAGAAAAAGAACCAGTCCAAAATCCAACTGTGCATTCTTCCCCGAAGCTCCGTGCTTTCCGGGTCCCTCCCCCAGTTAGTGGTTCACCACCCTCTCAGCATCTGATCTGAGAAGTTCTCTCCACCTTTCCGTCACACTGTCCCCACCACCACCAGAGTAGAACTTTAAAATCGGGAGGCAAGCATTATGCCGCCGTCCCACCCAGGCATCTGCAATCCCTCCCTCGTGCGGCCCGACTTTGACCTCCGAGCGTGGCCAGGCTCCAGCCAGCGTCTTTCCTTTCTGCATCGCTCACTCCAGCTGCCCCGACTGGGAGCGGCAAGCAGGTTTCAACTTGTGCTGGCCCCGGGCGCAGCAGCAGCCTTGCTGCCCTGACTGCCCCCCAATTCCCGTACCTGGGCCTGCTGGCGTCCCCCAAACAAGCCCCCTCTGCCACACCTCTTTGTTACTCTCGTACAAGCCTCTCTCTCTGCAGACCCCTTCTTCAACAGCCGCCTTCTTTTTCCTTCCAGGTTTGGCTCCAATGACATCCCCCGCCCCCCAAGAGCTTCCCCAGCTTTCACAGAGTGTTTTACACGCCCACCCCCATCTGGAAGGCTTTGGTTGGTGCCTTGCTGTCTGGCTGCACCACTGCTGAGTTGCAAGCCTCTAGAAGATTGTTTGGGTGTTTCTCTCCCCAGGCTGTCAGGGGTCCGCACACGAATGGCTCTGCAGGCAACCCCTGAGCCACTTGCTAGAGGCTGCAGGGTAAGCAGCCAGCCCAGACCGCCTGCGTGTGCACGCGCCCAGGACCTCTCAGAAGCACACACACCGTGAGGGAGCTTCATCTGAAGGCTCAGTGGCTGCCCTTGCCCGGCACATCACAGCGGGTCAGACACACCTCGAGCACCCACACAGGACGCTGCTGTGTCTGGTGACCGCGGCCCCGGCTCCGATGAACCCAGTAAATGTGTAACTGACCGAGTACCAGCTCACTCTGTTTAGCAGCAGAGCGCGCATCGATCTGCCTGACTTCCTGGAAGCCGGCCCAGCGTGAGTCCCTCTGGCCTTCCTCCCTTGGCTGCCTGAGGTCCCCACCCCCACTGTGATGTAACCCCCCCTCCCCAGCCTGGGTACAGGACAGTCTGGGAACGGCTCCATCCCCACCCCTCAGATATAAATAGGCCTCCGTGGCCCGGCCAGAGGAAGAGCCGCCCTTGTTTTGGGACTGAACAAGGTAAGCCGGGAGCCCCTCTTCGCACACCCATCCCAAGCCCCAGCCCCTCCTGACTCTCCTAGGACAGCTGAGCTGCCTGCTGGGCCCCTGTGGGGAGGGGGCAGAGCAAACCAGCATCCAGGAACCAGAAGCCAGGGGACAGCGGTGACCTGCGCAACTGGGGACATTACCCCTGAAGACTCAGAAGATGTTGCTCCCCTCCAGTCAAGCCAGACATCCAGAGCTGGGCTGTTCCCCCTCAGCCCCACCCTGGGTTCCACCAGAAGGCCGGTCCTTCTCACAGTTGGCTGGTGGTCGGTCCCCCTGCTCCCTCGGAGCAGGGCTGCGTCCTCTGGGGCTGGCACAGGACTGGATCATGGTGGACAAGCGTCCACCAGGTCCTCTTCCGGCCAGAAGGAACAGCAAGGTTTGTGCAGGCAGCGGGGCTGAGGCAGGGCCAGGCTCAGGGAGCCTAGGGTGGTGTCCACACAGGGCGCAGGTGAGGGGCGGCCCCCATCTCTCTGCAGCCGCCTTGAGCAGAGCTGTCTCTGGCTCTGGGCTCAAGGCCTGGGTCGGTGCAGTCAGGCTCATCCTGTCTCCCCGAGCCTCTGCTTGCTAATCTGTAAATGGGACAAATAGCAATGCCCGGGACTCCCTTGTTCCTGGACTAGGACAGCAGTAGACTATGAAATGCTTTCTAAACTTCCGCATAAACTACGAAGGCAGATGCTTACTGTTTTGTTCAAGAGGCAATGCAGATTGGTTGCTTGGGTGTGCAGGCTGTGGCTTCAAGGGTCTGGGTTTGAATCCTACTTCTGTGTCTTACTAGCCACGTGACCTTGAACCTCTCTGCTCCTCCACAAAGCAACATTAATGAACTTATTTAACGACGACTTTATAAGTAGCTACTATGTCTCAGGCACTGTGTGGGGGTGGGGTGGGCGGAGAATGTGGTATATGTCAGCAAAAGAAAACAGAGCAAGAACCCTGTTCTCAGGGGGGTCTGCATTCACATAGGAGGAGGTGGGCAATCAACAGACAAACAGTACACAGGGCCACCAGGTGAGCAGGGCCACGACACAAGGAAGACAGGGCAGGGTGAGCTCAGAGTGGTCGGCGTAGCAGGGACAGCTGCAGTGTGGGACACTGTGGGGTTGAGGAAGCCCCAGTGGTCAGGGGTGGGCTGTTGTGATCGATGAAAAGCCCCCACCAGCACCTGGCAAGGGGAAGCAGGATTCTGTGTGACCTGCCACCCTCACCATTTCCACCTGGGGACATTGAGAAGGAGGGGCTGGTGGAGAAGGAGACCAAGAAGGGGTGAGGAGGAGAGACCCGTGGTGGGGGGGCGTCAGGACCACCACGCTGCCGGGAGCACCCACAAGGCCCTGCCCCCCTGTTGAGGGCTGGCTGCTGACTGAGGACCCTCGGGGCGGGAGGGCTGATCACAACTGAGGGCGAACAACCGCCGCTGCCCTGGAAATGACCTGTGAGGTGGCTTCACCAGAAAGGGGGTCTGTGCCATTCAGAACGCAAAGCGGGTCGGGCCGGTTCCCGCAGGCTTTCCCCAGCACTCAGTCTGCAGGTTGCCCCTGGCGACAACCTTCACTATGGGGCGGGGCCGTGTAAACAGGAAGGGAGAGGCCCTCTGCAACAGAAATGCAACAAAACGAACCCCCGAACAGAACCCTGCAAAAGCACACCTCAGCCGCAAGGAGGCGCTCTGCACCTGGTCACTGAGACGTTTTCTGAGGGCCTTGGAGTCCCTTTCTTCCCGTGGGTGTGTGCAGACGTGGGTGGGTTTCTCCAGGTGAAGGGCTGCGGGGGTGTGGGAACGCGCCTGGCAATGGCGCGCACTCCTAACCGCATTTCACCGTCCCCGCACGTTTCAGGGTAGCAGCAGCGAGCGCCCCGCAGAGATGGCTCCTGCCGGTGTGAGCCTGGGGGCCACTGTGCTTTGTCTCCTGGCCTGGGCCGGCCTGTCTGCCGCCGACCGGGTGTACATACACCCCTTCCACCTCCTCGTCTACAGCAAGAGCAGCTGCGAGCAGCTGGAGAAGCCCAGCGCCGAGACGCCCAGCGAGCCGACCTTCACGCCCGTCCCCATTCAGGCCAAGACGCCCCCAGTGGCCGAGGAGGCGCTGCGGGAGCAGCTGGTGCTGGCGGCTGGGAAGCTGGAGGGCGAAGACAGGGTGAGGGCGGCCACGGTGGGGATGCTGCTCAACTTCATGGGCTTCCGCATGTACAAGACGCTGAGCGACACGTGGACGGCCACCAGCGGGGCCCTCCTGTCCCCGACGGCTCTCTTCGGCACGCTGACCTCCTTCTACCTGGGGTCCTTGGACCCCACGGCCCACAGACTGCAGGCCTTCCTGGGCGTCCCCGGGGAGGGTCAGAGCTGCACCTCCCGGCTGGACGGACACAAGGTCCTCGCTACCCTGCAGGCCATCCAGGGCCTCCTGGTTCTGCAGGGCGGGGCAGGCAGCCAGGCTAGACTGCTGCTGTCCACCGTGGTGGGCCTGTTCACGGCCCCCGGCCTGCGCCTGAAGCGGTCTTTTGTGCAAGGCCTGGCCCCCTTCGCCCCCATCACCCTCACACGCTCTCTAGACCTATCCACGGACCCAGAGCTCGCGGCTGAGAAGATCAACAGGTTCGTGCAGGCCGTAACCGGCTGGAACATGGGCAGTGCCCCGACAGGAGTCGGCCCAGACGGCACCCTGGTCTTCAACACCTACGTCCACTTTCGAGGTAAGGCAAAGCCCCCCGGAGGACTCCGCCACAGGCCGGTGCCCAAGGGCGGCAGTTCTCTGTCTCTACAGCTCTGATGTCCAAGATTCCAGCTGAGCAGGGCCCAGCCTTGGAGGTGGGCAGGGTGGTAGACATGACGGGTGCGGGAGGACGGGAGTGGCTGTCCCCCTGGGCTCCGCGGGTGAGCGCAGCTCGGGCATCTGCCTACCTACGCGCACTGCCCTGTCTCTGCAGCGACTCTCTTGCCTCCTTTCACTGTCATCATCTGGTCCTCTGTGATGTGGTGAAGAGGTGTCACTGCCTCTGTCCCCGGTAAAGAAATAGGGACTCAGAGAAACCACACGACTTGCCCAAGACGGTCCAGCCACAAGCAGTGGGCCTGGGATCCAAACCTGAATCTCCTGACCCGCAATGGCCCAGGTCCCTGTTCAGAGGGCCCAGTTTCTGTCTCTTGTGAAGGTCACTGTCTCGTGCAAAAATAACCACTTTGTTTGCTTAAATTGCTCTCACGTTGGGGGGTGATTACTAAGCAATCCCTACTACACAGGTTGCTCAATCATTCGACAAATAATTGTTGAGAAGCTGCAATAGGCTAAGCTGGGCGTCTCAGGGGCGCCGAGTAGGAGGGATGCACAAGCCCTGACCCCAGGTTGTTGAAGTTCGCTGGGGGGACAGACCCTGAGGGCAGGTGCCCTGGCCAAGGAGCTGCAGGCAGAAGTCCCCCACGGAGATACTCTGGGAGCTCGGCGCACTCAGAGTAGGGGGTCACTGGGGAGTGGGCGGGAGACCTGGGAGTGATGCGGGGAGCAGGGTTTCAGTGAAGAGAAACCTGCCAGCAAAGGCAGCCAAGTTCAAGGTGAGGGACGAGATTGGGAAATTAGGATAAGAGAGGGGGACCAGTGGAAGGCGGGGCTGGGAAGATGGGTGGGGGCCAGGCATTGGGACTCGGACTGTGCTGCCCAGGAAGGTTAGAGTCCTTCGGGGTCAGGTGTCCACGTGGACAGGTGCTCTGCCCAGAGGTCGTGCCCTTGGCCGTGCCGCCTGCACTGCAGGTCGGTGGGTCCTCGGAAGGGTCTGCAGCGGTGCAGACGAAGTCTCTGGGGACTCGCTCTAAGCCAGTGGCTCTGCAATGGCGGGGTGGGCTCGGGAGCCCTGCGTCTCAGGGACACCGAGGAGGTTGGGTCAACCTGAGCGGTGTCATGCAGACAGGGAGCCAAGAAAGTCCACAGTTAAAGACAGGGCCGTGGAGAGAGAGGCTGAAGAGCGCCAGGTCACTTCCCGCCACATGCAGGAAGTTCATGAGACCGCACCAGGAAAGGACCTCCAGCCGCCCTTGGGGGGCAGAGGAAGAAGACAGGCCCGACTGCTCAGGCCCCAGGTCGGACAGGCCACGGGGGCAGAGTCCAGCCAGGCTGTGCCGGGGGCGGAGGCCAGAGGATGGCGTACAGTCCCTAAGAGCAGCGCCGGGAAGAGCTCACTGAGAAAATCGCGCCCCCAGAAGGCAAAGCCAGAGAGCCACTGGGTCAGAAATGGGCCTCGCTTCAGAGAAGTGCCGTCCACGTGCTTCTGCAAGACACAGCTGGGCGGGAAGGCGAGAGAGGAAGAAGGGGAGATACAGAAAAAGGCAAACCACACTCAGGGTGGCGGGGTCCTGGGGGCCCTCCCAGCCCCGTCCTGGCACAGCCCTCCGATCACGGGCCCCGAGCTCTCCTTGCCTCAGTTTCCATCCAATGGAGATGCAGACCCCCCTCCGGCCCACCAGTGTGTCCGTTCATGAAACGAGCGGACTGCGTCGGGGGCTCGAAGTCCCGCATGGCAATAACGTCTTGTCACGGTGACCTCAGTGCACGCCCGGGAGTTTCTAACCAGCAAGGGCCGGGGGCTTGGGAGCCCGTGAGCGCCAGGCACCATTTGCCCAGCACTGACCGTCACCTCCAGCCCAGGCGCTGGCCCTGGCAGGTCCAGTGACAGCTGTTGACTTAACCTTGAGGGATTTTACTGAACCTCTGGAGAAGATGGTGCTGTTCACATGAGCAGAAGGAAGAGGGCCGCCGCTCAGTTCACATTTCGGCATCTGTCTGTGTTCAGTTTGTTGGTGGAATAATTGTCTTTTTCCCCCTCTAAACTAAAAAGCCTCCTGCCAGGCCTGGTGGGCCAGTGCCGAGGTCCCCAAGGGGCAGTGGGTGAGGAAGGTCACCGAAGTTTCTTTCTTTTTCACTGAATTTACTGGGGTGACACTGGGCAGTAAAACTGTATCGGTTTCAGGTGCATGGGGTGTTCAGCACCCCAAGTCGTCTCCCTCCATCACCACTGAGCCCCCTACCTCTTTCCCACCTCCCCTCCACCTCCCTTCTCTCTCTCTCCCGCCCACCTCCTCCCAACCCCTTCCCTCTGGGGATCACGGAGCATGTGGGGGCAGTGAGACCCTCCTGTAGGAAACTGCAGGGGTGGACTCACATTGTCACACGCTCGTGCAGACCACAGACGTGCCACACCCGGAGGGAGCCTGAGTGGGAAGGGGGCTGTGGGCGGCGGCGCCGTGGCCCCAGGTTCATCAGCTTGGGGGGGGGGTTGGTGCTGATGGTGAGGGGGGCTGCGTGGCTGGGGGTGGGGAGCAGGTACGTGGGAAATCTCTGGTCCTGTCTCCTAATTATTCTGTGAGCCTTAAACTGCTCTAAAAAGTAAATGCTTTTTAAAAAACCAAAAACCAAGGAAGCATGCTGGACCAGTGGCCACAGGCCCTGACAGACCCCCTGGGGTCTGTTTGCCCCATCCGCACCTGGGGTGGTAGGGTCCTTAAGCTCCTTGATGTCCTTGAGTGAGGGGACAGTGTACAGTCTCAGGCTGGAGCCTGGCTGTACCGTGTCTTCAGCATTGGCTGGTAGCGTCACCTTAGTGAACTCGAAATGGCTGATTTGGCAGGAGGAGGACTTGACCGGCCCCCGGGGACACGCAGTGGCCCCGAGAGCGCTGGGGTCACCCGCCTAGGCCCGCTCTCAGCGCGGTCCCGGCCCCACGCCCGCCTGCCTCTGCCGCCTGGCTGACCCTCCTCTTCTGTCTTGTCTCCATCTGGGTCTCCAGGGCAGATGAAGGGCTTCTCCCTGCTGGCCGGCCCCCAGGAGTTCTGGGTGGACAACACCACCTCCGTGTCAGTCCCCATGCTCTCGGCCGCCGGCACCTTCCAGCACTGGAGCGACGCCCACAACCACCTCTCTATGACCAGGGTGCCCCTCAGCCAGAACGCGGGCCTGCTGCTGATTCAGCCCCACTGTGCCTCCACCCTGTGGGAGGTTGAGGCCCTCACCTTCCAGCATGACTTCCTGACATGGACCAAGAACCTGGCTCCCCGGTATGGCCGCTGGGAACCCCTGGGGACCTCCGGGCTGCTCCCCCTGGAAGTGGGGAGCGGTGCTGGCCCTTCTGCTTAGGGTGAGAGGGGACATGGGCGTCGTTGTCGGCCAAGCCCTGGGCACGGAGCAGGGACAGGGCCTCTGTTCTGGGAGCAGAAGGCTGGCGCCCACCTCATCTCTCCACCAGCTGTTGACCCAGCACTCGGTTTATTAATCACCGTCTCTCTGGGGGCAGGACAGGTGATCACCCGGCTCTTCCCCGTGTGGGGGTCAGAGTGCCTTTCAGTGTTGCCCAGGGAGCAGGGCCCCTGGGGCACCCGCCCAGACCCGCACTGTCTGTGTGTTCTAAGTGCTCCTGGGGGGCTGACTTCCCAGGGGGCACGGCCCCCTCCAAGAAGCCTGTGGGGGCCTTTCCCCAGGAGACTCCCTTGACCCCAGATGCCCCCTTGGTTTGCTGCCCTGGTCGTTTGCTCCTCTTCCCGATGGCGACAAGGCAATTTCTCCTCCCACCCCCGGTGACCGCTCCCTCCAGTGGTGACACATACCTGTCAGCCACCAGCTGGCTGCCCGGGTCTCCCGAGGGCCCCCTCTGCGTGCCCAAGCCTCGCCCCGGGAGCCACCTGGCGCCTTCCTGACTGACTGTGGGTCGTCTCCGCAGGGCCATGCGCCTGACCATGCCGCAGCTGGTGCTGCGAGGGTCCTACGACCTGCAGGACCTGCTCGCCCAGGCCAAGCTGCCCACCCTGCTGGGCGCCGAGGCAAACCTGGGCAAAATCAGCGACTCCAGCCTCCGTGTCGGACAGGTACTGCATGGCCTGTTGCTGAGCTGGGCCTGTGCATTCCCAGGGTGGGACACGTACACGAAAGGGACACGCAGGAAGCTTCTGGAAGGGGCGGTTGGGCAGGAGGGAGAAGAGGGCCTGGCCAGGTGGGTGTCCTACCCTAGAGTCAACTCTAGCGCCCTCTGTGCTGAGTGTGAGGACTCACGGCCTGGTGGGCCACGGTGGGCGGGGCCTGGGGTTCTGCCTGGGACGGGCCGTCTTGCTGTGCTGAGTGAGAGCTGTGGAGGGCCCGCGGGCACTGTGCATCGGCTGGAGCAGGCCAGGCCCAGGTCCCACAGCGGGCAGCTCCGCACAGCCGTCCCTGGGCCCTGCAGAGCGTCTGGAGCAGCCCCAACCCTTGCTGCTTTGCAGGTGCTGAACAATGTACTGTTCGAACTCAAAGCAGATGAGGGGGAGCAGCCCACAGAGCCCACCCAGCAGCCGGCTGGGCCTGAGGTCCTGGAGGTGACCCTGAACCGCCCGTTCCTGTTTGCCGTTTACGATCAAGACTCCACTGCCCTGCACTTCCTGGGCCGTGTGGTCAACCCGCTGAGCGAGGTGTGAGGCCACCCGGCTGCCTCCATGGGCGAGGGCAGCTTCGGGCAGCATCACTCAGCAACACCCATTTGTCACCACCGTCTTCTGCTTTTTCTTCCAATGAGTCAGCCTCAAGCTGGAAGGAAGCTGCTTCTCCTTGGTCAGTGCGGCGCTGTGCGTGGGAGCAGCAAGCCCTGGGAGCGAAGCAGGCCCCCGGGTCCTTAGGTTTATCTCAGGAGCTTGGGGGCAGCCAAGGGCCAGCGCTCAGCACAGGACAAAATGTCCTTGTCCCAGAAAGAGTTCGCACAGACCAACGTGTTTGTGAAGCCAGTAATTGTTTCTTTTCTAACTGGAAACAGAAATTGGGTTTTAAAATTAAAACGAATGTTTTTCGCTGGCCTGGGTGGACATGCGGCTTAGTGAATGGGGGTTCTGACCCGCACGCCGGCTCCACGAGGCCCGCGTTTCTCTTCGCCGTGATGCTGGTGGTTTCTGGAAGCACAGGGATCTGATGTGTGTTAGACTGCACCACCGTGGCTGACCCTGCGTGGTTAATAAATGTCTTACCACAGGAAGCAAAAGGGAGAAACAATTCTTTCACTTCCCAGAGCAAATACAGGGTCTGGCACATGCAGCGCCCTTTTTATTACAAAATCACAAGCATGTCATTCTGTGACATCACAGTATCACACACGCAGGCACGCTGTATGGCGTTTTAGGTGAAATGTTCAAATGAAAACTATAAATTATTGCACCCATATCATGACCCTGCCAACCACACCCGGGCAGGCGTTACGTCTGCTGGGCCCCACGTAGGCTGTTCAGCAGACAAACCGCACAAACGGAAGTGCTTTCCAGGACTCTGAAGAAGCTGAAGGCGATGTTTTTCTGGATGCTTCCTCCCTCGGTGGCGGTGACTGTCCGTGGGACAGGCAGGCGGGCGGGCCTGGGGGGCCCTGCACCCCATGCAGCTGGGGAGGGGCCAGACGACGGGCACTTCTTCACTCCCGGACGCAGGGCCCGCTGTCATGCGTGGTGCCCAGGGAGCAGGAGACAGAGAGGTCTCTACACTGCACATTCCTTTCTGCCCTTTCATTCTTAAGTGTCCCCGCCCGTCCTCCTCGGTGGGACGAGGCCCCTGTCTGCTAACTCTCGGGCAGAGCCTGAGAGGGGTGGGTGCCCGGCAGGCCCAGGCTGCACGCTGATTAGTGTGGATGCTGCAGGGAGACAGGATGCAGGTTTTCTTCCCATCTGTAGATACTGAGACTCAGCAGCGAGGTGAGAGAGCGGCTGCCCGTGAGCTGAGGGGCTTGTGGCCACAGGCCTGGGGCTGGGGAGCACCCGGGCTGGGAGTGGGGACGGCCGGTGTCAAAGCTGACCCAGGGCTTTCCTGTCCTGCTTGTGCAGTGCCCGCCCTTCGCCCAGGCCTCACCACCCCTCCCACTCGCTGGAACATGGAGCCACACTCCGACTGGAGCAGGCGTGGGCCCACTCCTCTGACTGCGGCCCAGGCCCACACAGAACAGCAATGGCACCCTTCCAGCCTCAGTGTGCCCCCTCACGTTCCCAAGCACCCCTCTCACCTGCAACGTAACTCCCTATCTTGGCAACAAGGGGACGCCTGGTCCTTCCCACCTCTGTGGGTGTAACGGGGTCTGTGTGCCAGGCCCCCAGGGGCGGAGTGGCGGGGGCTCGGAGGAGGGCCGACAGGGGGCCCCTGTGTGACTCGGAGCAAGTGGCTCCGTACATCCGCCCCCGTCTCCTCGTTTACGGAATGGCAAACACTTGAATGAATGAGTAGTAACCTCCATACGCACTTGGTCCCTAACAGGACCGTGACCTCTGCCCCTCATGGCAGTCCCGTTCCAAAGGGCACAGCAGGAACAGAGGTGTGCACCTGGGGCCACAGCGGGAGGCTGGATGACAGTCCCCAAAGACGCTCAGGCCCTGGTCCCCTGGGCCTGTGGCCGAGACCTCACACAGCACAGGGGGCTTTGCAGATGGGACTAAACGAGAGACCCTGAGGGAGGACAGGACCCTGGGTCACCTGGGTGCCGTCAGTCATGTGTCCCTTGTAAGACGGAGTCAGAGGGAGAATGGGAGGCTGAGGGCCACGGGCTGATGTGATGCAGGACACGGGGAGAGGAGGTCAGAGCTCCAGTTTCTGCAGTAATTCCCACGACGGCCACGGAGGAACAACGGCCCAACATGCGTGACTATGGGGTTCGGAGCTGCTGGTCCAACCACATCTCCCCCGACCCCCACCAGCAAGTACACTCCATTCAACATGTGCTCGGGTGCCGGGTGGTGACAACGTGGCAGCGCAGGTCCATCTGTTGCAACAAGTGTCCCACCATGTTGAGGGACATTAGTAATGGGGAGGATGGCATGTTGTCATCACCCAGAGTCCATCCTTTACATGGGTGCTGCCCAGCTTCGTGTTGGCCGTGGGGACACAGCAGGGAGCCTGAGTTCCCGGCTGCGACACCATCCTGAGGCCGCTCACAGGGCAGTTGGCCGGAGAGAAAACTGTTTTTAACTAACAAACAGGCTTCTCTGCTTAGCAGGCTGCCAGGGCTTGGGCAGTTGCTAGGAGTAAGCTGTTGCCAACCGGCCACTGGTCTCCATGCCTCAGCACGTCCGTCACCGGGAATTGGGTCAGGACATACAAAGACACAAAACACCAACATTTTGCAGATCCCTTAACACAAAAGTATTAATTCTATGGGCTGGTTTTCCTTAGACATTTCTTCACTGCGTTCTACGTCTCCCTGGGTTGCAAAGTGTGCATTCATTAATGAGGCAATTCATTATTCTGCCACGACAAACACCTCCAGTCCAAGATTCCGGGCTCCAGACCAAGTCAGCAGACCCCCCGTCCATCCCTGAGCTTAGAAACCCAGGACGTTTCTGTTTGTCCCTCATCTGCAGCAGGCTCTCCACCGCCTCTGCACCGCCACAGCTCACAGCGGGCGCAGTTCTGAATCCGGGCGCCAGGACATGCGCGTTGGGTCGGCAGGTGCTGTTCCGGAGACTGGGGGTGTTGCAGGACATGCAGGACAGACACCGCGTCACCTTTCCCAAATCTGAGATGGTGCAGGCACCTGGGCACCGGCGGACACCAGCATACCAGCTCCGGCGCTTGCAACCCCTTTTTGAGTTTATGTTAAAAAGCTGTAAAAATTAGTTTTACAAAAAGTATTACTTCATCTTTAAACAGTATTTGATCGCAGTTCTCTGAAGCACAGCTTAGTAATCACACACATGAAACAGAGGAGGCATCTGCGGAAGCCAGGGAGGCATGTCCGGGCCTTCTGCTTTTTAACCAAGTCTTGCTCCTTAAGCCCAGAAATGGACATCATGGCTTTAAGGGTGTTGCTGTTGTCCAACATGCTGGAAACTGGTGTCATGGGAGGAGCCTCGAGGCGGAGCCTGTGGCCTCATGGGAGGCAAAGCAGCCCCCAGCCTGGGCCCTGACCAGTGTGGCTCCATGGTCTGGGGGTCATCCTGCAAAGCGGAAGGTTGCCGGTTCAAGTCCCCGTCAGAGCACGTGTCTTGGCTGTGGGCCTGGTCCCTGGATGGGGCGTGTATAACAGGCAACCAAGGGATGTTTCTCTCCCTCTCTTTCTCCTCCCTTCCCCTCTAGGACTAAGTAAAATCTTTGAGAGAAACAGGAACCTGGGTCCAGTCCGCGGGTGTCAGCTCCTCTGTTCCAACGCTCAAGTCTGGGGGGCAGCGTTCCCTCGTGGTGAGCAAACCGGGCTCCGGGACAACCCCTGGGTTCACATCCCACTGACTAGTTACCTCAATGCCCGTTCCCGTCTGTTTCCTCCTCTGTAAAACGGGACTAACAGTGGACGGGAAAGGACTAATAAGTCCTACCGCCCTCCTCCGAGTCTGGAGCAAAGGAGGGGGGCAGAGGCGTCAGGGGATTCAGGGGACAGGACGACAGTGAGTCTGTCCCCAGCTGGGGTTGGGCTGCAGGGGCCGGGTCAGCTGTGTGGCCACCGGGGTAGGTCTGTCCCGGGTCCCCCAGTGCGGCGGGGACTGCGCTCCCCGGACTCCCTTCGGGCTCCCTTGGGGCTCCTGTTGGTTGGAGTCTGTGGGATTTGGCAGGTGGAGCGACACGGTGCACTCACGCCGGACAGGCGGGCGCAGGTCTCAGGTCACGCTGGGCTGCAGGGCACCTGTCGGCGAGGGGCAGTAGGCCCCACTGGACGGACCTCTTCCTTCACCTTCCTCTAGTCCTGGGCCAGGCGTGAGCACAGCCTTGGGAACACCTGTCACTGAACCTGGGACACCTGGAGGCAGCAAGACACCGGTGCGGGTTCCACTCCGTCCCCGCTTCCCGGCCCCTACATCCCCCCGCCTTTCCCCCCCTCACCACCGTCTGCTGCACTGACAAAGAGGCGCCGTGCGCAGTCCAGCGAACCGCCCCCACGGCTGAGTCAGGTCAAACCCTGTGATGCACCCCTCCTGCCCTCCCACCTCCCTAACCCTAACTGCCGAGTCCTGCACTGGCCCGTCCAGGGGCAGGGCCTGGCCCTGGTCTTTGGCTAAGCTCAGAGCACATGCCATGCACCGGGACAGGGCGGTAGCTGCTCTGGCTGTGTGAGCGCCAGGCCCAGGGAGCTCCTGGTGCCCACACCGCTGCTCTGCGGTGCTCCTGGGGCTCGTCCTTCAGGACTCCGTCCCTCCTCTGGCCGGGCCTCATCAATGCTCTGAAACAGTTGTCCCTGCAAGCTCCAATCCGAGACCTGCTTATTTCCTGTCACTCACTCCTTTCCTTGGTCTCCCTACAACCAACCTTTGAACAGAGGGAGGCTAAGGGGCAAACAAAGGCGAAGCTAGAGGAACGCGCCACCTGCTTTCCTGACGTCCCTACGCTGCAAGGTCAGCACCCCCCCCACCAAGCCCGAGGGTGCAGGGGCGTGTCAGTGTGCAGGGCTGTCGGGAGCCAACCGGCACTTGTCCCTTGACACTGTGGGGACAGATGAGACGCATCTGCACAGCAGAGGCAACTGGGGCTGGATTTCCTGTCTATCCTTGCATGTTTGTTTTGGTGATTATTTGGTGGGATTTTCAGACCCGTGTATCAGGCCCAATGATTTGCATAATTCCAATGAAGTTGTACAAAATGATTTCTTGGCCAGGGAACAAAGTCCCCCCTAATGAGATAGCCCCTGAATGTTCACAAGTTGATGACTAACAAGTTGATGACTCCTCTGCCTTGGACAGGAAGATATACTAATTAGAATTAGACAAAGAAACGAAGCTGGTTAGCTATTACAAACTAAGCACGAAGAAACCATTAGCAGAGTCAGAGCCCATAGTACATAAAGAAACATGGTAGACAGAAAGACAGTCAAGTTAGACAGTATAGAGGCCTCGTAGTGAGTTTCCCATAACCACCGTCCAGTCTAGTGTAGCCTTGTGACCCACGCCAAATTCTAAACAAACATCTACTCATCAACGAGACATCTGAAGCTTTGTACAAACAGCTACTTCTAATTATCTGACTGATGGCTTTCCTGGTCAAAATGACTTTTGCGTAACACGACTGAGTCTGTGGAATTTCTTGTATTTTCCCTAGTTACCTCTGTACTGATTTTTCCACTTAACTGATCATGCCACGCAGCTGTTTCCTTAATGACATGTGACAATCCCTATAAAAATAAAGCTTAAGTCAGACCCTCAGAGGCTGGCTGTTCTCCGGCATCCAACTGGATGTCTGACTCGTCACTCGTTGCCTACGCCGTCCATCCTTCGGGGACTCTGAACCCCGCCGAGGCTGGACCCCGGCGCAGGGCAGCGAGCTGACCACGGGCCCGAGCACCTCTTCCCGATATTCCCGACTCTTCTGTCCACCTGACTGCCAAACCCCGTGTGCAGGATTAGCTCGTCAGGAGGGCCAGCGGCTGCTGGCTTCCGGGGACAGGCGTGTGCTGCCCTCCCGTGGGTGGGCTCCAGCACGTCCAGAGGGTGCTTCTCTGGGGACAGGATGCCCAAGAGGTGCGAGGGGAGGCACCAGCCCAGATGGATACCGGTCATTACGGGCCTGAGTGAGGAGATGCAACTCGTACTGTGTTCAGAAAGAAAAGGTGTGCATGCTCTGGGCAGGTACTTCATTTATTCAGAAAATAAACCCCCCTGACTGGCTCCAGCTCCTGACAGAGGGCTGGGTGGACCGCATGCCAGAGCACTGCCTGACACACCCAGTGGGAGGGTGGGGAGCCGGCATTTTCTAGCCGCGCTCAGGGGTCCATCGACACGTGTCTTGGAGAGGGCGCTGCTTCTGCCGCGGGCCAGGGAGAACCCGTTCTGCGTTTGCGTATATACATTTACTTTAATCCTATTTTACAAATCAGCTTTTCCTCACTAAGGTTTACAATAAAAATAAAATAATTTGCTCTGTAAACTCTAGTAGAAAGTTTCAAATGTCTTAAAAACTATCTTCCATACAACGGAAAAAGGCTTGTTTGTTCTTTTTGGGTGAAAGAAAACCCAAACGTGCGGGCTGAGCTGGGCCTGCGAGTCGCTCGGGACCCGGCGGGGACACTGCGTCCACTCCGAGGCTCGGGCTGCAGAGAACAGAGCCGCTTTCTTCCTGCGGGCGCCTGGCCTGGTGCCCGGCTCTCCGCGGCCCCGATGCCTACGGCCGCTCCGCTGCGGCCTGGTCCTTGGCGGCAGCAACGAGCTGCGCGAGCGCTGGGAAGCCTTTTATGTCCTTCGTCTGCAGGCCCAACTTCTGTATCTGCAACGGCCAGAGAACGAGGTGAGTTACTGCGGTTTACGTCGAATGTGAAAAAGACCCTCATACAAAATAGAGGAAAATATTCACCCCCAGCATCTACTAAATAAGAAAGAGGCAGCTGCTTAGAGAAGGGCAGAATATTTTTTCCTTTTAGAGCAAAAGGGTTTACTTATGGTGAAACTTTACTTTCTGGGGCCAAACCCTCGGCCTTCTAAGAAGTCAGTGTGTTTCACTGACCTTGGTCCATCAAATCAGCCTCTAACAGGACAAGAGCCTCTATTGTGGACTGGCAGAGAGAATTCACACCGAATGAAATAATCAAGTGAACTGTTTTTCAAAATGGGGAATGCTCAACAAAGAATTGGGCTGTCTTAATTTCTTAACATAGCGACCACCTTTTCTTAGAATCTGATCATTGAAACTACTCAGGCACAGCAGCTACTGTGAACTATGCTGGGAACCGAGAGATGGTGACTGGTGTCCCCACTTTCCTGGGACAACAGCAGCAGCAGCAGCGACAACACATGCACACAAGCGTGCACCGTGAGCTCTGGAAAAACCGTGGAGCGGTTTGTTAGTGCTGCGGTCCGCCCTGGGGGCTGGGAGGGGGACGGCCCCCCATCTTCCCTCCCGCCCCCCTTTCTTCCCTCTGCTTATCTGTTCCCTGTGCTTTCACAACAAACTGCTGCTTATAAGAGGACTACGCTCCTCTAGTGAAGTAGGGAAACACGGCACTGGACTTTTGCCAGGACAGGTGTCTAAATCTGCTTCAGAGCAGAACTTGGACTTTCGGTGACGACCCTGCTGTGCAGGAGAAGGCCCTGGTGAGCCAGAAAACCGCGCGTCTCTGGATGGAAACGTTCCGGTCTCACTTTCTCTGGAGCAAAGGGGCCGTCCCAGAGGATGCGCCTTGAGGGCCGTTCTCCACCCAGGAAACCGGAGCAGCGGACAAAGCCACTTCCCGAGCCCCTGAAAGTTCTGACACTCGGGGAAGGCGCCTCTGCCTCACGGGGGAGGCCTGCGTGTGGTCCTCACCCGCCCCTGCACGGTAACGTACACGTTAGTGCTCGTCCGTGCGCTACGACGCTCAGATCTGCCTTTTAGGGAGACACGGTGCTCAGGTGGCCTCTCACGTTCCACACTGCGAGGCCAACGGGCTGGTGCCTTGCTGGCTGTCCGACGCTGTTCTAACCTCGCTAATATCTCCAAAAACTGGGATGTGGCACTGACCACGTGTCAGGCAGGGGACCAGGAGGACGCGGCCCCCATGGGTGCCTCTCCAGTGGGCTTTGCCAGTGTGCACGCCGAAGACCAAGCAGACGAAACCGCGAGAAGGAGCCGATCGATGGGTTTCAGAAGGTCGGCTTTCAGTGTTGGTCTATCTTTTCTTTCTCTAAATTCCTAGGTGCAAATATCTGGACTTCAAGCACCTTGGGGCCCTGACCCCCCCCACTTTCTAGCATGGGCAACCAGCCTCCCAGGCCCCTCGGCGGCACCTCTGGGCTCACGTGAAATGCCAGGTGCCCCCAGAACTCGGTTTCAGAGTCCCTGGACTGATGCCAGATGGCGCTTACCTGTTCCCCTAGGTACTCAACGTCCAAGGCCAGCTGCAGCCGGATTTTGTCATCGTCACTCATGCCACCGCCGCTGCTGGGCCCACTGGGGTTGGCAGGGTTGGTTTTCCGGGCTTGTTTTAGCCTTTTCAGGCTCTCCTCCATCTTCTTCACAGAATGCAGCACGTCGGACACGGTCTCGTAGTACCTGGGGCACAAGGCACATGTACAGGTGAGACGGACGTGTGCGTGTAACACTGAGCACGCTAACGGGCACTGCGGACCAAAAACAAGAGAGAGGGAGGCTTTTAATACAAAAATTGACTTCCAACAAAAATACCAGCCGTGGTAAATATTTAACGTTTCTTAAGACTGAAAGAAAAATAGGGCCCCGACTCCCCAGCACTGCATTTCCCGAGAACCTAAGAACATGTACATGGATTCTGGGCACAGTTTCAGTCCTGGACACTCAGGGAAAGTCATGGGCCAGACTGCCTTTCTCATGTCAAGAGTGAATATCTGTAGCTCATTCTCCAATGCCAAGCCACGAGTTCATTTACAATCAGTTCCAGGAACAGTTCTTCTTTTAAAGAGTAAAAGCATTTCAAAATTAAATAAAACTGGTTGCCTTGAAAATATTCTCAATATACTGTCCAGATTATATATGAATTATATTTAAAAACTCTGTTTACAAGCTGATTACTGGCTGGGAGTTTTCGTAGAAACAATATGGTAATTCATTTTGTTCTAAACTAACCCACAAATGCCACTTAACTCATAAGTAACTGAAATAAATAAATACCATGGCAAAATTAGCAATTGAGCAGAATTCAATGACAAAACTGAGTCACAGACTCTGATGTAACTCAATGCTGGCATTTGGGGAAAAGGAGACTGAGTTAGAAATGAAGAGACACTCAATCGGTGATCTGAAGACTCCCATATTCTCAAGGGCTATGGGGCTTTAGACACCGATCCTTGATCAGCTGTAACGATTTTCCCCTCCCGGTAACGCCGAATGACGGAGGCCATTCAGAACTGAAAGAACTGAGCAGAGAAAGCGTCTTCAAGGAAATCACGAGAAGGCACGAGAAGGTGCCCACACGAGAGGGTGTAGAGAACGGTAAAAGGCAGGTGCACGCGGGGAGCAGGTAGGGGTGCCTGGACCCCTGAGAGGTGTGTGACCTGGGAGATGCCAGACAGTGGGAGCCCAGCCGGGCTGGCTGCAGTCCAGGTAGAGCCTGGGTGGTGGGGGCGGAGTGTGGCGAGCACAGCCCAACCGTCCACACAGGGGGACCTCCCGTGAGTTGCCCCAACGAAGCCATCTGACGTTCCTCCCACCTCATCTACCCGCCACCCTTGGATAATCTCCTGATGCCTGACTCAGGGCTTTTCTGAGGCCACTTACTTGTGAGTGCTCTCCGAGAGGGCGCCTTCTAACCACTGCTGAACAACTGCGGGCTTCAGCCTGTCCCGGTGCCCGCTCTGAAGCTGGTGAAAGGGCTTCAGGGCGCTGTCCACGTACGAGGAAGCCGTCGTTGGCACCTCCTGGAGTGCCGTTGGGGGTGAAAGAGGTACAGAAAGCAAAGACCGTGAGCTATTCAAACGCCTAGTTCGAAAGGATGCTACTCGTACAACCCCCGTCCTTTCTGAAAAGTGACACGGGACTGGCTGCAGAGAGCCGTCTGGAGGACGAGAGGGGCTCGGAGAGCGGCAGCAGGGAGGCGGCGTCTGGAGCCCGAACAGATCCAGGGGCTGCGCCAGCCGCCCACGGCTTCGTTCCCGAGGGCACTGCTTCCCATCACTTCCCATCCACACCCCACACCCAGCGATCTTGTTCCATTTCGGGCCCATTCCTCGTGCGCGCACGTGTGTGTGTGTGTGTGTGGACAGGGGGCGGGGCCTGAGCTAATGCTACTCATCAACCGGCCGCGGTTCTAGAAGCAAGACCCAAGGTGAGTAATTCGACTTTTCTAATGTGGTTTCTTCGTCTGTAAAGAAGGGCGCTAGCACCACTTGGCAGGACCAGCGAGAGTGCACAGTGTTTAGCGCGTCTGACCCCAGTGCAGCACTCGGTAAGGACGAGAGCCCACTGAGCAGGAGGGAACAGTCGGTTGATCACTGACGGAAAGAGGTATCTGGTGGCACAAATGAAGTCTGTCCCACCTCTAAGTGGGAGCTTCGAGTCAGACCAGAAAATCCGGCGACATGGTTCTTTCTCTACAAGCGGTAATTCAACTGCACGTTGCGGGTTTAAAAGGACAAGGAGACCAGCCACAGAGGAGGTCAGTCCAGTCTCAGCTCAGCAGTGAAGAGCCCCCCCCCAGGACCCTGTGTCAGGTGGGCGGAGAGACAGCCGCACCCCACAACGGAGCGGCGGGCCCGCCCCACGGAGGTCTGCGGGAGGCCCAGGGGTTTTCCCACACTGCACGATGTGCCAGCAGACTTTCACAACTCCTGAGAACAACTGCAGCTGTAAACTGCCTAGCACCCAACCCTGCAACTGGGGAACCCACGTCTGCCCCCTGCTCGACGACTCCCTCCCCGTGGCTTTCCTGCCGGTACTTCCCACCCCACTTCCCACTCCACGCTGTTCTCAGTGAACGGCGCTGACCTTGTTGGTCCTCCGGTAGAGCCGGGGGACCTCCAGGGCGCCCCTCAGGTCACTGAAGCAGGACTCGCTCAAGTCCTGGACGATCCGGCCGCCGAGGGCGGGCACGCAGGCCGACAAGGCCTGCCGGGAGTCCTCCAGGGCTGCTGCTGGGACACAGAACGGGCTTAGTCACTGTCCCGCTGTCAGTGTTCGGAGCGTGCACAACGGAGCAGATTAAATCATCAGAACTAAACAAACCTTCTCACTTAGTGAAGTTATCATCACAGAACAGAATACAGGAACAACTAAGGGTTTATAGCTAAAGAGAATAGCAGCTGAAATATATCCCCCAGACTCTACAATTTTATTTTAAATTCTTTCTTATTTAAAGATTTGCTAAGTATAAAGAATTGTTTTTACCTGAGATAGAAGAAAAATTCTTAATGCCAATCATTTCTAGTTTTGGCTTGATTGTTTCCAAGAGTTCTGGAAGCTGAAATAAACATATACTTTATACATTCAGTTACTTTTTAAGCCAAAGGGAGAGGCGATTCTATTTGCATCTACAATCTCTAAGGTGCTGCTAATGAACATGAACGATGAAACTGAGCTCGGGACTTCCGGTAACTGTCACCAGAAGGAAGCAGAATTCTTAACGAAAACTTCACGAGAAAAGCGTCCACCTCGGGAAACAGCAGCTGTGCGGCTGGGAAGGGGCCCGGAGAACACACGCCACTTTGTAATCTGCGGCTCCCCCAGGACCGAACACTTCACTGGAAGACCACATCTTCACTCGGAAGGAACAATCTTGCTTAAGCAGCACGAACTATTACAACTTGAGGAGAGCACAGTTACGCGACACAGCACTTCAGCACCCATTTATCCCATGTTCTCTTGGTGGTAAACGCAAAGACACGGGAAACGCCCAGGAACAGATGAAAAATTGAACAGTGCAAATGCTGCTGAGAACTGTCTAGGTATGTGAATGAGCAATGATCACACTCCGACCTGGGGAGGACCGTGCCTGCGCCGTAAGCTGAGCTCCTGCAGAACGGCTCACGCCGAGCTTGGACCATCGCTGCTGGGGGAGCGGCGTGGCCCCAGGTTAGCGCGGCGCGAGACCGAACCGGCACGAGGGGCGAGAGCACGTCTGTCAGGGAAACGGCTCAGGGGAGACGAAGGAGGTGCTCTCTGGAGCTGCCCTGGGGCCCCCCGGGCCTCAGCCCACGGGCGACGGTGTGCTGTCCTCACAGAGACTTCCTGAGAAAACCCCGCACTGAGCACGTGGGGCCTGGGGCACGGCCTACCTGCCCCTGAAGCCTGTCCAGGTCGGCGACGACATACACAAGCTGGGAGCTGGAGATGGAAGCGACAGGCTTCGCTTCGGGAGGGCCGCTTCCTTGGTCCTCACCGCTTCCCTGGGCGGCGGAAGGGTCTTTGCCAACCGTTACCACGGGTTTTTTAATATCCTTGGCACTTTCGTTAGAGATGGGCCTGAGTAAAAGCTGAAAAAGGATTTCGGTGACTAAATACTTCTCCACTAGCAAGACAAGAAAGATGCACAGGCACTTAATATATGTGGGTTGACAAGTCACCATAAAAATCTAGTCGCCTGAGAAGTCTCAGTAAAGGTCTCTATTTTCTTTTAAAGATTTTATTTATTTATTTTTAGAGAGATGAGAAGGGAGGAAGAAGGAGAGGAAGAGAAATGTCAGTGTGTGGTTGCCTCTCACGTGGCCCCCACTGGGGACCTGGCCTGCAACCCAGGCATGTGCCCTGACTGGGAATTGAACTGGCGACCCTTTGTGTTGCAGCGCACGCTCAACCCACTGCGCTGTACAAGCCAGGGCTAAAGGGCCCTTGGTGACAGTGCACTGTGCTGTCTCTCTCAATGGGTGTGAAGGGCTCAGGGAAAAACAAGCACAAACCTCAAGCCCGAGGATGTTCTCCTCCCTGAACCTGAGTCTAATTTCTGGAGCCAAAGAGTAATAGGCAAACGTGAAATAACAGTCCCTACACCAAAGGCAAATTAATTTCTGGAACATTACAGGTTTTTAAATTATCTCATCGCTTCTCAGCCTTTTGGCTAAGATCAAGTGTAGTATCTGTTCTTAGTTTAAAAATTATCTCTATTAGGTAAATATATGAAATTTGCTTATCAATATTAATATTAAAAATCAAAATCCAAACCTCATGATGCTTCAAATAATATAAAGTGTTTGCAATATGTATTGTCTCGCAGGGGAAAACCGAAGAGAAGTCCCAGCAGCAGGAAAAGAATGAAATGATGAATGTTCCAGGCAAGTTAATTTATTAGAAATACAAGAAGAATACTGCTGGCCAGCAGGAAAGAAGGCGGGCTGGGCAGGCCCAGGCCTATGTCAAGACCCGCAGGAGCCCGCTGGGTCCGGGCCGCCGTGCGGGGCCCTTCAGGAGGAAGGAGGAAATGAGCTTTGACGGAGACCCCTCATGTGCCACTCACCTCAGTCCGCAGGTGCTATTCAACAAGCACCTCCTGTCCCCGCACGGCAGCGTGTGAGAGCTGTTCCCTAGTTTACAGGGCAGAACCTGAGACTGCCCTGATTCCCTCCCCCGGGCCACAAGGTGAGGAGGCGGCAGAGCCCATTTGGCCTTTGTTGGACTCAAAAGCCCGTGCTCGCTGCACGAAAACCCCTCTGCGAGGGGACAACTGGGCCCCGTGACGCCAGTCTCTATGCTCTGCCCTTAAAATGTGCACTCATGCCTGTTTTCGTGTTCATCGCGTGGCAAGGACCAGGACACATGCCTGCCTGTCCCGAGCCTGCCCTGGAGACAGGCGTCTCCAAGACCACGACGCTGGTGCTGGGCCTGGCGAGGCAGGTGCTCAGCAACGGACGGACTGTGGGAACGGTCTCGGGGCCTCATGCCTGATACCCAGTGGATCCCCACGGGTGCGTGCGCGGGCCTTTAATACAGTCACCCACCCGGGAGGGAAAATGCTGGGCACTCTGAAGTGAGTGGAAGGCTCATTTTACTGCCTTTTAATCTCAACGACTATGTAATTCTTAAACTTCCAAATATTAACTATTACAATATGTACATTTTTATTTGCAAACATTTTCATTAAAAGAAGCATCTTTGTTTTAATGTGGAGGCACCTCACCGGCTCTGGCTTTGGGAAGAGAAAAGGAGCTTGTGGGCACGGCAGCCCCCGGGGCACTGGGGACGGGGTAGGACAGGGGACAGGGTAGGACAGGGGAAGGGAGCAGGGCAGGTGCAGGCCTGAGGAGCAAGCCTCCTGCTGTCCCGCAAACTAATAAGCTCTCATGGCACCGTGGCCTTTTAGGGTCTTGGTGCTTTCAGCCTGATGTGTCTTTGACCCCCACCAGCCTTGACTGTGGCTGAGCCAGGGCGGAGCCTCACCTCGCTGACGAACACGGAGAACCGCGCCAACACCTGCAGCGTGAGTCTCCACAGGCGGTGCGCCAGCGCCGGCAGGAACAGCTGCGCCGACCAGCACCGCTGCAGGCTGCTCCACGTGCAGTGCGAAGCCGCCAGGCAGTAGGGGCTCCCGGCTGGAGAGAGAACACACCTCGGTCAGTCAAGGGCTCTCACCTACAGTGACAGCCTCGGTTCTTGACTTCGTTCATTCCGGTAACTGTTAGAGAAGCAGTTTGTTGGAAACCAAATAATACAGGTGGGCGGCTGATTGTACAGGTATCAGCACAAAAGGGTTGTCCAAAGTTTTGTTTGACAACCAAAACATTTCTTCTGTGAACAACCTGGTCAAGAACCGAGTTTTTTGAGATGGGAGACATTCAAGGACTGAGGTTTGGCTGTATTTTCCATGCGTAGTTCAAGAGGGAAGCCAGCAGCACTCTCCGGGGCTCTGTGTGGTCAGCGAGGCCGTCAGTGGGAGCTGTCAGCAGACACTGTTAGCAACGAGAACGCCCGGGTGGCCATGATCAAGGTCACTGCTATGCCTCTCACAACAACGCATTTCTCATTTGACACCACTCCACCTCCCAGGTGTTTGATGAGTGTTAAAAACACACAACACCCAGAAATAATTTGCTACTATTCACTTCAGAGCAAGTCGACAAACATGAGCTGAAGTGGCAGCCACTTGCAAGGGTTTCCACTTCAGTTTTGAATTTGTCCTGTTTCATTTCTCTGCTCTTCTCTTCCCCACCTGAGTGCGCTGCTGATCTACAGGAAGTTCACTCCACGTGAGCATTTTTGGCTAAGACAGATGAAAACCAACTTTCGGACTCCGGAGTGCAGACGGACCCAGCTGCACAGAAAGCGGCAGGAACCTAAGCACAGTGGCCTAGAGACCCAGGAATGGCCACAGTGTGCCGAGACCAATGAGGCTGGAAAGGCTCAAACATGCCTGGGACGTGCACACCGACCACTGCCACCTGTCCTGTGCCCCAGGGCGGGTGCCCAGGGCTCCAGAGGCCTTTGCTATAAAAAGGGCTGGTCGCTTCAGGGACCATATGACGTGATATTCAGGAACAAAAATGAGGTCTGCTTCCTACAGTCTTAAAGCATCCGCTTATCATCGCTACAATGCGAGAAGCTGTAGAAACCCCAAATCCCATTTCTTTCTTTCCCTCCACAGGAAGCCTCCAAGGTCTGCCACACTGCATGACAGACGGGGAGGGGAGGCATGCCCGGGGTTGGGCACTGACTAGGGTCTAGACGACGCGGTGAGCTTGATGAGCTCATTCAGGGATGTCCTGTCGTTTCTCACGTTAAGGGAATCACTGGGAAATAAAGGAAATTACCTGGAGCGTCTTCCAGTCCCTCCGTAAGCGCTGCTTCCAAGGCTCCCGCTATTTCTCTAAATCTGGGATAGAAACAAGAGCACAAAGCAGGGATTTCGCTGCTGACAGATGCCTTCCCCCAGCTCTTCTCCCTTCCTCCCAAGTACCAGGAACATCCTCCTCCTGGGGCCACGGCGGGAGGCTGGATGATGGCCTCAGAAGACACCCAGGCCCTGGTCCCCGGGGCCTGTGGCCGCGACCTTACACGGCACAGGGGGCTTTGCAGATGGGACTAAATGAGAGACTCAGGTGAGGACAGGACCCTGGGTCACCTGGGTGCCATCAGTCACGTGTCCCTTGTAAGACGGAGTCAGAGGGAGAATGGGAGGCCGAGGGCCACGAGGTGATGTGATGCAGGACACGGGAGAGGAGGTCAGAGCTCCAGTGTCTGCAGTAATTCCCACGACCGCCACGAAGGAACGACGGCCCAACATGCGTGACTACGGGGTTTGAGCTGCTGGTCCAACCACGTCTGGCAGATACCCTCCATTCAGCACATGTCGGCTGCGGGGTGGTGACGGTGAGGCGGTGTGGGACCACTGACTGTCTGAGGTGTCCTGCCAGTACGAGGAGGCTGTGCGTGTGGCAGGCCGGGGGCTCTGGCTGGCCCCACGCCACACAGGAAGCTCCTGCTAAAAGGACGGGCCCTCCAACCCTTGTTAGGTGCCTCCTTGGACCCGCGTCCCTGTACAGGGCAGGGCCCCGACAGAGGATTCAGGGCCGTGCCCTCTGAAGACCACTGGCAGGCCTGCCGCCCTCTGAGCCTGCAGCCAGGGCGGGGCGGAGGCAGGCACCTCTGGGCTGCAGCAGGAATGTCACCAGGGCCCTCGGCGTGGGGGCGCAGTGACACAGTCCTTGTTCCTGTCGAGTGTGAGACATCCCTCCTGAACCACATCTCACGGGACATCCAGCTTCCCTGTCACACTGTGGGGTGTCCGTCACACGATGTGACGGTCCCCACGGTGCACGCTGGCCGTGCGGCCCGGGATGCCGTTCTGTGGTGCGTGACTGCACGTTTAGTTTTTTAACGAGCTGCTTATGGAGCACAGCTTCCCAAGCGCGTGACTCTCCCATCTTCGCACCCTCTGTCACCTGCTGGTTACTTCCCCAGGTGGCAGTGAGTTCTGATACAGGCTTACAATGAACTTACCTAACCGATAATTTGGTTTCTTTGCTGGTACCCATGTGCTTTTAAAAAACAGTTCAGAGACCAAGTTCAAGGAAACTGAGCAGCAAAGGAAACAGCGTTCCAGACCAAAAGGAACGGCCCCGCCCTCAGAGGGTGCAGAGCAGTGGCCGAGCGGGGCAGCCTCCCAGCCCAGCCGGACCCTGGGGCGGGTCTCCCGCAGCATCTGGTGCTGCAGGGAAGGGAAGCTCTCCCGCTGCCCACTGAGGCTCACGAAGGGCTCGTCTCCCCAGCCAGCACCGTCCGGAACCCCCTTCCCAACCCTGCTGAAGGCGCAGCGGAAGTGCCGGCACAGGGAGGGGTATGTGAGCAGTCGGACCCGCAGGCGCACCTGTCAGTGACAGGACAACAGCAGGCCCCTCCTCAGGGACGCTTCCGAGCGCTCCCGCCCCTGGCTTTTGGGCTCCTTTCGGTGACCCTACAGTGACTCAGACGACAGCGCACTCTGACCCCAGCCCTGTTTGCGGAACTTCTTGTCACCGTCCAGGGCAAACACCTGATAGCAATCAGTAGGCGGGCCTACCAAGTACTACTTGGGTGTACTTTTTAGATGGAAAAACAAATACAGCGAGAACAACTCCCACATCTGAAACCTAATTTCTGAGAATTTCATGAATGTTAAATACAACAGTTCATGAAGAGAGGCTGAGCCACCCCTTCAATGCTTAAGGCTGAAGTGTGACGAAGGCAGAGGAGTCGGGAAACGGGCCGAGCGTCCACAGGCCTCACGGCTCAGTCACCAGCTCCGAGAGGACCCAGGGCCTGGCCTGCGGAGCCCAGAGTGCGGGGCTGGGGCAGCTGGGGGAGCCCCAGGAGTGGGTGGGGGTCAGGGCAGGGTCACTAGGCATGGGCCTGGGGGGCTGGGGAGCACGACTAGGAAAGAGGAGTCTGCAGGCAGCGGAGGGGAGGACGTGCCGGGCGGCAGAGAAAGCAACCCAACTCCAAACCTGGGCCGCAGAGAGACGGCCAAGCCCGCACACTGTGTCTCGACCACGGTCTGCTCCTCTCAAAGGACGCTCGGCACTTTTGATTCTGCACCCGGATCACAGGGGCTCCTTTCCCCGGCTCAATCCTGACTACCGTACATTTCCAATGCAGTCCACAAACGTCTTAGATGAGCAAACCCTTAATTTCCTACCGAAACAAGCTACATGACAACGTAACCCAGAAAAATCAAGCATATAACATAGTAGGCATTGTAAGTATGTAAAAGGGCACCATACCAACATTCTGAAAACTATGATTTCATTATCGAAGATGATCACATACGTCTGCAATCATGGTGAGGAATTATGATCAAGGGACCTCACCCTTAATACTTTTCCCTCTCTGTAATTTTTCTTCAGAACTCTGGGGTAAAGGGCTGTGTCATAATTAACAAAAGCATCCAAAAACTTAAAAGAGCACTCCAACTCAGATGGTCTGGTCAATGCCATTCTACAAGGAACTTACATGACCTCATTCAAGAGAATCTGCAAAGAAAGAAAAAAGAACCTGCAAAAATGGCTATTACCCCATTTTTCCCAGTGGAACACACGTTGTTATGGGCTCATAAAGTCCCTCAGTAGTTCAGGGAGCCATGCCCCCACGTCAGCAACATCTGGGGGGCGAGTGGCACCACTGCCCGGAGTGAGGACCGCGGTGCCACGAGCACTACGTGGAAAGCCACGGCATTGGGGAGTCTCGTACGCCGGGTCACAGAACCGGCTGCAAGAAATGCTTAAGGCTAGGTTTTCGCCACCTCCCGGAGGGAAAAAACGTCACACAGGAGCAAGCACAGCGGATGTGGGGCAGGGAACGTGGCAAGAAAGCGCGGCCATCTGACCCGCACTCTCTCCCTCCCCAACACAGGAGACAACGTGGGGAGCCAGGCTGGGCTCGGAGTCGGCGCACTGTGAGTCTGGTGTTCTCAGCTCTCCCGGTTCTAGAAGACAGATCCTAGCTTTTCGTCATGCAAGCCATCGTTTCGGCAATCATGGTATTTCCTGTAAATTCCTACTTTAAATTTTGTTTCCCAAGGAACTGTTGGTGATCACAAAGAAAAGGCTGTTAATCAGAGACAATATCCTTACCTGGTATTCAGATTCCATTCTGGGAAGGAGGTGGGAGGTGAATAAATGACTGACCTGATTTGAAAATACACGGGCAGGCTCCACTTGTTGTTGAAGCTGTGGTAGGCGGGATGGGCTCTCAACCTTCTGACACTGGCCTGGGATCCACACTGCCGTTCGAATGTTCTCACGAAATCCATGCTTACGCTGTATTTCTAAAATGGGAGCAACAGGTGGCCTTTTCAGTGCAGGCAAACCGACCAGAATTGGGAGCACGTACTCAGACTGTTATTGAGGCACAGAAGGTCAACACACAAAACCGCAGTTGCCAGAGCCGACAGGGGCCTTAAAGGCTCGTCCTTCGAGGTGTCCACTCCAAGGCCAGGCAGCGCCCCAGGCAGCTGCACGGCACACTCCAGGTCGTACGTGGCAAGTCCATTCGGAAGCCCAGGGACTCTACACCCAGTGCTCTGTGAGGGACAGCGCTCATGTCCTAGGGCACCCCTCGCCGAGTCCCCTGCACCCGAACAGGGTGGCAGATCGAGCAGTGTAACTTCCATTGTCTCTCCAGGAGGAGAAGTGGAAAATTCCCGAAACACAGTATCAGACGGTGTGAATAATCACAGAGGAGACGGCGCACGACTGCGGCGGATGGATGTGACAGCACCGCTCGGAGCAGCGGCAACACTCCGTACCATTCACCACCGCACACCGTGCTCGAAGTTGGACAAACTGATTCAACCCACAAAACTACCCCGTGAGGTAACTGCTGTTTTCATCGCCCCCCACTTTACAGATGACGTTTCCTCTCCTGTTCAGGCTCAGAGAATTTTCCCAAAGACAAAGCAAGAAGACAGAGGGAACAGAGCCCCGGTCAGCAGAGAAATCCGGGGCTGTGGCCAAGGGTGCACTAGTCCCCAGGGTCCGGGCTCTGGGGGGAGCCCTGCGGACTCCACACGCTTCTCAGTTCGAGGGGCTCGATCCTGAGCTGCCACACCGCTCACCTGGGGGCGCTGAGGTCTGCGCCTCCACGGGCGTTATAGCGCGGTACCACCGCAGGGTTCCAATTCCTGTCTGCTGCTTTTGAGCGACACTTATGGAGTCTCCTGAGTACGGCCAGGTGTGCGGAGCGGAGGCAAAGGAAGGTATCAGGCATCGCTTTTGGGGTGACACTGTGCCTCAGCCCGTGATGGGTGCTAAGAGATGACAATAACATTTCCCTCTTCACAGGAAGCACGTCCTATTAAGGCTGGAAGCATTTGTTGAAAGAAACAGATAGATGCTTGCTGGAAACTGTGCCCCCGGACATTAAGTCCTGCTTCAGAATTCCGAAGTCCAAGTTCTACCAGGAAGCCTCACCTAGGAGCTGGGACAGCTCCTGGCCCAATGCGACGAGTGTGATTCTCAAGGAGAGCAGGAAATGCAACGGGTCTTAAATCGCAAACGCTGGCGGCCACCATCTCACTCCACTTACAGTACCTGTTTTTAAAAACCCTACATTCAAAATCACAAAATCATTGTCAACGTACTATAACACAGGGCACTCAGCCACGAGAACAGATGACTATTTCTGGGCCAGTAAAGCTCCGAGTATGTTGCCTGATTTGTTTTGAAGTCTCCTAGGCTCCAGGCTCACAGCACACTCACCCTGTGCCTCTCTACACTTTCAAAACAACCAAATTCACCAGGCAGATTGGAAAAAGAAGCAAACAGAACTTCCAGAAATGAGCATTAGAATAATTACGGTCGGAAATAGCGTACAGATGAAAAAAACAGGTCACACACGACTGAAGAGGGAATCAGTAAACTACAGGACCGGTCCTGAGAAGTTATTCAGAATACAGCACAGAGACAAAGATGAAGAATATAAGAGTATTGATACATTTAGAAAGCACAAAAGATCCAGTGAGGAGGCCTGATCAAGAATTCTGGAAGGAAATAACAGAAGAATGGGAGAGAGGCACAACTGAAGAGCTGATAGCTTAAAAACGTCCCAGAATTTAGAAAAGCTACCGATCCTCAGGCTCAGGAAACCAAATGAATCCCATGTAGAGTATGTTTCAAAAAGCTCATATGAGACGTAGTATAATGAAACAGCAGACCACAGTCACAGAGGTTTTACGTGTAGCCAGAGGGAAAAAGGCATTAACTACAAAGAAGCAAGAATTAGGTTAACAGCTAATTTCATAATGGAAGTCAAACGACAAAAGTGCAGAGACTTCTATTACCAGCAAAACTACTTTTCAAACACAAAAGCAATAAGGTTATTTGCAAACACAAACTAAGGGTTTATTATAAAAAATGAAGTTTATCACCAACAGATCCTTGCCTAAAGGTCTTCTAACGGGAATTGCAGGAAGAAGGGAAAGGATCCAAGGAGGCGGGTCTCCCACGCAAGAGGGAGCAGCACACAGAGGACACGACAGCCCTGTGGGGGTAAGAAGCGACCCCTCTGAGGGGACCATGACCGTGTGACAACGACACGACGAGGAGGTCAGACGAGAAAGAAGCCCCTGGGAACGACAGCGTGCGCTGTAACACGGGGCAATTGCGTTACAGTGCCCTGCGCTGCCGTGCCGTTCGGGGGGCTGGGGAGCACGGGTCCACTTTCGAGCCTGTAACTGCCAAGGCTGCTCAGTGCACACGTAACGGGCAGAACCTCCGAACTAGCAGAGGGAGACAGAAGAGAGGAGGGGAACAAATCCCCGAAAGTCCAAGACTCAGAGAAGGTGGAAATGGAAGATAGGAACGAAGAAAAAGGCACAAAAGTGGGACAAACAGAGTCCGAGGACTCAACTGTATCAGCAACTACGGGCATTACAAATGCCGTAAATTACCCAATGGAAAGACAAAGGCTGTCGCACTGAATGAAGAAGCACGGCCCAGGGACGGAGAAGGCGGAGAGGCACCGAGAGGCCGGAGCAGGAGAGCTGGGCCGCGGGCACTGGGGCCGCCGGCCCGCCTCTTTCCTCCTCGCTGTGTCCTACGTGTTGCCCTTGAAACACGACGTAACAAAAAGTGAGCACGTGGAATCACTTTTGAAGCCTAAACCATGAAATCCTTAAATGGCAACGTGATTAAAAAAAATCACTACATCTAGGGCCTCCTCATCTTTTAAACTATATAGGACAAATATATACTACATTTCAAAATCCAATCAATAGTTTTCACTTTCCTTCAAAATTATACAGTAGAAATATACAAACTTAAGTTTTCGTGGAAAACAACTGCAAAGAGATGAGCTTTTAATGATTCTAGAATCTTTTTAAAAAATTGATAAAATACTGTACATATCTAGTCCCAACTATTTACACCGACTTTTACTTTACATTCTAAAATAAAAAAGTCTCGTGCCCTAAAGTACTGGGGACTGTCACATGGATAAACCGATGGGTGTATTTCAAGATGAACGCTCGCTCAGCAACCACAACTTCGATTTTTAACCAATCACCAAACCAGGACTGTGCAGAATGGAACACGATTATTCTAAAGCCTCTGATGAACGTCTTCCAGGGCCAAGAAGGAGGGAAAGGTACCTCGTGAAATGCGTCAGGGTCTCCAGGGTTGAAAAGTGAGGGCAAGTTCTCTTCTAGTCCTCGCACTATTTCTGGCCAGACAGAATTCACCAAAAAGTCATATCCAGGAACAGTATTGCCTTTTTCACTGTAAGGTAAGAACAAAATTGCAGTCAAATACACCGTGGTCTCCTACTTACACACAGCAAAATTCCACTGTGGTGCTTTTACTAAAAGTTCCTAAGCCTTAAATCTTATATTTCAACCCTTAAAAAAAAACAAAACAAAAAAACCCCTGTCAATTAGTTCATTTTGGTCTCCAAATTTCTATTTCACTGCTTGAACTGAGTCTCACCTTGAACCTGACACAGCCCCTGAATCTATCACACAGCAGAGTGAGCTGGTGTCAGGCAGGGGGCAGAACTGCCACATCAAACTGCGGAGGCACAACGTCCTCCCCTGCAACAGGACATCACACCCACCCTCCACCTTAGCAAAGAAGTCTAACAGCACACAGAGCAGTCCCTGCACTCGACCTGAACGCCGCCGAGCCCCACAGCACCGGAAACACGCTCACTTACCAACTACCGACAGCTCTGTCGTCACTAGACTGTCTATCTAAGTTCACCTCCAGTTGTCAAATTCTATGACTAGTTCACGTAAAATCTCCATATAATGTATTTGTATGCATGCACGCTTCACTCTGCATCTTTAGCAAACAGCGAGGCTGTGGGTTCTAACTCACAAGCCAAGGAGAGGCCGCAGTGAGATAAAAGCAGGTCCTCAGGGGCCGGGCACCTGAGTTCAAAGCACCTGAGTTCAAAGCTTGGGTCATCCCGTTGCTCTGTGTTTTGGTTTCTTCAACTTGAAAAGGCAGATGGCCACGATTTCCACCCCACAGGACCATCGCGTGGGTGAATCGTCGCACTCAGAAGGCATTTAGGATGACACCAGCGTACGGTCAGTGCCGTGTTAGTGATGATCAAATACTTAAGTAATTAAATAAAGGCAGATGCCTTAAGTTTCTCTTGAACTTAAAGACCCATAACTATCTCCCTGGCAAACAGTCTCGCTGATCTACCCGCTTTGATTGTGGTATGTTGAGTAACATGCTTTAACATAACTTTCTTTTAAAATGTTCGGCAAGTCAACATGGGGTCTTATTTTAGCAAAACTGGGAGTTTTGTGGCTAAGCTGTCAAATTATCAAGATCACCCTGGGGCTTCACATTCTGATATGCATTAAAAACAAACAGAAAAGAGTTTTCATAATTTTCAGACAAAACAAATCATCAGGAAGGTGCGCTTTACTGCCCAGGAAGCTCTGGACCAGTCTGCCTGCAGTCAAGTGCTGACAGGGGTCGCTGGCGGGGCTGCAGAGGAGCCAAGGACGGCAAGGATGGTCCCACTGCCAGCTGCACACACCCTGTGACATATTTTTAATCGCGAAAGAACCAGATCTACTCAGGTATCTGGTCAAGGGAAGAGTAAAATAGAGGATTTCAAAACTACAGACGCACATAATATAAACACTACTAAATGACAAGGTCTCATACCCAAGGTCAACACCTAATTGAAGCCCCAAAGAGAAAACTGAAACCTGCAAGATCAACAATGGAAACAGATGGTAGTTAGAAAAGCCAATCCACTCTGTTTGCAAGATAAAGTCGGAATGTCGCTGGCATCGAGGACGATGCAGGAAAAAGGGAAACATGAAGCATTCGAAACTTAAAGGCAGGCGGTGAGCAAAGGAAGGTCAAGGGCAGCACGGTGATGGGGCCTGAAGCAAAGGAAGATGACCTACCAAAGGACCAAATGATTCTTCACATTTCTGAGGCTTCCCTGTGACTTCTACCACACTGACAACTGTGGATAAGAACTTACAAGTTTTAGAACTTGACATTTCAGGAACAAGACCAGCCTCATCCAATCTAAGGAGTGGCTGTCTCATAACTGCAGTTTTCATTTTACATCATAACTTCTCCTACGTTCTTACCCCCACATCCAAGTGATCACTAAACAAAAGTGGCAAAATCAGGTTTCACCAGAAATCATGCCACGAAAACAGAGAGAGTGCTTCAAAGACCAAGCAGTGTATTTATTATCCCAGCTTCTTTTCTTTCCAAAGAACAAAAATTCGAGACCAAATATACTGCTTACTCCATGAAGATGAAGAACTTTTTTGCCTTTCTAATGCTGAAAATAAATGAACTGGGTTCTTTGCAAATGCCGTACACTGCAGGAGATGAGCACATGCAGAGATGGAAACTAGTCCCCAACAGCAGTGAAAGGGACAGGAAACCAGTCCCCAACAGCAGTGAAAGGGACAGGAAACCAGTCCCCAACAGCAGTGAAAGGGACAGGAAACCAGTCCCCAACAGCAGTGAAAGGGACAGGAAACCAGTCCCCAACAGCAGTGAAAGGGACAGGAAACCAGTCCTCAACAGCAGTGAAAGGGACAGCAAACTAGTCCCCAACAGCAGTGAAAGGGACAGGAAACCAGTCCCCAACAGCAGTGAAAGGGACAGCAAACCAGTCCCCAACAGCAGTGAAAGGGACAGAAAACCAGTCCCCAACAGCAGTGAAAGGGACAGGAAACCAGTCCCCAACAGCAGTGAAAGGGACAGGAAACCAGTCCCCAACAGCAGTGAAAGGGACAGGAAACCAGTCCCCAACAACAGTGAAAGGGACAGGAAACCAGTCCCCAACAGCAGTGAAAGGGACAGGAAACCAGTCCCCAACAGCAGTGAAAGGGACAGGAAACCAGTCCCCAACAGCAGTGAAAGGGACAGGAAACCAGTCCCCAACAGCAGTGAAAGGGACAGAAAACCAGTCCCCAACAGCAGTGAAAGGGACAGGAAACCAGTCCCCAACAGCAGTGAAAGGGACAGGAAACCAGTCCCCAACAGCAGTGAAAGGGACAGGAAACCAGTCCCCAACAGCAGTGAAAGGGACAGGAAACCAGTCCCCAACAGCAGTGAAAGGGACAGGAAACCAGTCCTCAACAGCAGTGAAAGGGACAGGAAACCAGTCCCCAACAGCAGTGAAAGGGACAGGAAACCAGTCCCCAACAGCAGTGAAAGGGACAGGAAACAGAATCCAGAGGATGCAGTTAATGCTGGAGATCAGGACAAAAGATGGTCTCTCGAAGGAAGTGGTATCTGAGCTGGAGCTCACTGTGGCAAGGGACAGGAGGAAAACCACAGAGGTACAGGACACAGGGAGTGTCAGGGAAGGGCAATGCCACCGTGTGGACATAGACCAGGTGGAGCGGGGAGAGTCCCGCCACAGAGGGCTCTCCAGCGGAGAAGCCTGGGGCCAGAGTGGAGAGGACCCTCGGTGCTGCCTCAATAAGCAACGGGAAGCCAATAATGACTTAGGAAGAGGGCAGAGCATGTGACTCCCAGAAATCTGGGTGGATGTGACAGACAAAGGCTGGACTGGGTGGAAGAGTGTGGAGCCAGGGAGGCCAACGGGGAGACCCTTTACTCTGGAGACAGGAGGGCAGAGAGGCCTAGCCTGGGGCAGCGGCAGCGACAAAAGGGGAAGAGCTATTTATGACCCAGAACTGGAAAGTCATGGACATTAAATAAAAGGAGGAGGGAAAGCTGAAAATGACTTCAGCCACAATCAGTATAAAACTTGTTGAATTTGACTGATTAGTACTGTCAGACAGATCATGGCATTAGAAAGAAACCAATACCGACTTCGAACTGACGCAGGAGAGGGGGCAGAGAAGGAAAGGGTCTGGGCTCTGCACCCGGGGAGGTGGGCGACCTCAATCTTAGCTTCGTCACTCCAGTTTCTTATCTGTGGGACGAGGCTGGTGACTCCCGCCTCACGGCACCCGGTAACAGTGAACTGGAAACAAGGTGTACCTCGATCACAGGTATTTTACTGTAGTTCACTTTGTTTCGTGTTTTTTTACAAATTGAAGGCAAGACCATTCACCGGCCAAAAGATTAAGACTCGCTGAAGGCTCAGATGGTGCTAACTTTTTTTAGCAATAAAGTATTTTTCAATTAAGGTAGACACATTGTTTTATTTTAGAAATAAGGCCACTGCACACTTAACAAACTACAGGATAGTGTGACATAGCTTTTACATGCACCGGGAAAGGAAAAAATGAATGTGACTCGCTTGACTACGGTGCCCCGGACCCTGCAGGCCCATGGCCCACGGCAGCCACGCACTGCAGCACAGGTGCCACCACGAAAGTCAGGTGCGCTCGGGCACGACAGCCAAGTACCTTGAGATGGCTCCGCCCGTGACTTCTCGCAGAAGGCGGCAGTGGTGAGGGACAAAGTCCAGGAGTTTGTTATACATGATCTGAAGGCCATTGGGATGAGACTCCACGGTCTGCTCCGTAACCACCTGTTAAAGGGACAGTGTTTGAAGGGAAAGCATCTGAAGGGGAGGTATGAACTCTACACTTCAGAGAATGAAGACAACCCCCCTCCTCCACAGCTGACATGCTTTCTAACCAGCAGGTAAATGACAGCTGCGCTCAAAACTAGGTCCCAGATGAGGGTGCAGGATTCTGACCCTGTGGAGACAGATGCCGGGTGACAGAGCCCAGCCCAAGGCTGAAACACCAGGCATGTCCACCTGCTTTCCTGCTGAGCCGGGACGTAAGTGACAACCACTGCTCACTGCCCTGACCTTGGCCTCCTCTTCCACCATCACTCAGCTTAGGGGAAGCGGGGAGACAGAGAAGGATGGAAGATAATTCATTTTATTTTACTCTGTACTTTTATTTGGGGGGTAAGGTTGAGAGTCGAGAGGTGAACAAAATGATAAGCCTACTAATTTAAATAAAATAAAAAATGTGGCCGTGCTTTTATTCAATATGCCACTGAAACTTCACATTTCTGCCATTTGGCACATTAGATTCAGTTCAATGAAAAACAAAGGCAAAAATCGGTACCAAATGTTCTCACTCACTGACGAGCTGTGTCACTGTCTTTTCCACCCCCATTGGAGTAACTGTGAAATACAACGTAACACAACTGACGGGTCACAGCTTTCAGTGACCCCAAAGGTCACTGAAATGAATTCTTGAACTTCATTATCAACGGGATGCAACATTCCCGGTTTAAAAGTGGGAAACTTTCATCCCCAAGTCACGGTGACAGAAGCTCTGTAGTCGGTGGACAGACAGAACTCCCACCAGACGGGGGACCGGAGGGCAGTCTGCACTCGCTGGGGATGGGCTTTGTGACTTCTATCAGTTTGTACCAGATGAAGCTGCCATTTTGGTATGTCGGAGCGCTGCTGAGTGCTGGCAATTTCATGTGGTACAATCTATATCTGGCTGCTCAAAGGCAGAATACTCCTACTTGCGACATCTTCACCGTATCCTAACGGGAGGAACACTGCACGGCCAAGGTCTTACTCAGCAATTTGCCCATAACAGCCCTTTATCTCCGAATATTCCCTCCCTTCCACCTTTGTGGCCCAGCCAACTCCTCCATAGTTTCGAAGACTTGGGCCCGAACCCAGTTTCCATGCTCACAGACTTCTCAGTGCCCGCCTCCACCACGCATGCGCATGGTAGCACTGCCATCTGCTGCGTGTTCTACTCCTTCCATAAGAGCAGTAGTCACAAAGGCTTTTTAACAACTTCATCGAAGTGTGGTTCACAAACCATAAAGCTGACCCCAAAATGTTTTCGAACACACCTCCTTCCCAGGCCAGACCCCGCCCTCTAAGTGAAGACGGTCCCTGGGCTGCGGCGTCATTCAAAAATACAGGAGCGAGCCCGACCGCCGGCACGCTGGCGGTAACCGAGCGGGCCCTCCCTCTTACGGCTGACCCTGCAGTGGACGCGGGCCTCTTTACAGGAAGGGCTCTGGTCAGCCCCCCACACCCAGCGCGGTGCTGGAGACAGACCGACAAACGCTCCAGGGGCGTCTGTGGGCCGGAGTCTGACAGGCACAGACCTGCTCTATGTATGGTTTCACCAGCACTTGGCCGACCAGCGCCTCCGCGTCCCGGGTCTTGTCGATGGTGGCGTAGGTCCGTAAGCAGTGCCGTATAATGTCCACGTCGGAGGTCCGCAGGCCCTCCAGCAGGAGGCCCTCCAGGGACTGCTGCAGCATGGCCGTGATGCCGGCGATGCGCTGCGTGGGAACAGACAAGGAAAAGCTCCGATTGGACCGACTCCTAAAGGCTCAGATACGTACACAACAGATCCTTTATTCTAATAGAAGAAAATACATGTAAAACGAAAATATTGACATTTCTTGAAGAATAACAATGAAGTTCTCCTTCTCCCCACAATCTCTTAATAAGTAAACCTTTGCATCCTCAAAGAGAATTTAGACAGAATTACAGAACTAAAAAAGACGTTATTTACTTCTTAAGCTACAGAGTAAATCTGATGAACATACAACTTTAAAGCCGAGTTAAGAGTTGGGGAGAAAGTAACTCTGACTCCATCACATAATGTGTCAAGTTACCTGAAATTCAGAGTTAATTTTACTCTTATAATTCAGAGAATATGCCCGTGTCTTTACACAAAATCTGTGAAGTATGACACGTAGAAAGGGTCAAAACCACAAAAACTAAATGCAAACGTTCAAAGCTAGCTTCAAAATCTTGCAGACCAACAGTTACCTGGGGCATTACTGGGTTAAACCAAAATTATTTAGCAAATTCCTAAATACCCGATTGTGAAAATCTGAAACACTTACTGGTCTTACTTTGTCCAGAAGAGGCATGCCTTTGCTTTGAACAGCGTGAAACTGTAACTGGTTAAATTCTGTAGCAATTCTCTCCAAAATCTGTCCTGTCAAAAGTGGGCTAGCAGAGACAGTGACAGAAATTTAATTCCTGAAGTGTATTAATTTCCAGGAGAACACCCCACACGATGAGCGACGGCGTTGTGTGCACACCCACTGTTACAACTTTCTCCAGAGTGTTGCCACGCCCTGCCTGACACCCGGGGAGAGCCGAGGCACCCTCCGTGCCATCAACTCTCACTCTGAGCTGTCCCCACAGCCCGGTGTGAATGCAGCGGGGACATCCCCCACACCACCGACGCTGCCTGGCTGCTGGCCCAGGGGCCCGGACGGGGAGCAGGAGCAGGCCAGGGAGGTCAGTGAGGGTGCGACCACCCACTCCCACCGCCTTCTCCAGACTCTCCCGTTCATGGCCTGCTTACCCATCACCCCCTTCTCTCCTCCTGGCCTGCCCCATTATTCACACCTTTTCTCAAATGTCTCGGATACCTCTCAAATACCAAATACTGTCGTCTCCTCCAGAAAACACAGCTGGCCCTCTGGCAGCACTAAATGAAGTATCTCAAAGCAGCTGCCTTCAGATCGACCTTTACCAAATGGCTGACAGCAGTTCATATGCCATGTCCTAGCAAGGACACACTCACTGTGCATCTCCCACGAAGTTTAATGAATGCCCTTCTTTCTGCTAAACACATTATAAAGCCTCACTACCCCTCAAAGGGAAGTGAAATAGCAAAAGACGAAAAACAGAAAGGCACTGAAGCCCCCGCTGGGCTTTTTGGAGGCTTCCTGTACCTGCCCACGACCGATGGGCCAGCGGGGGAAGATGCACGTAGAGTAAGGAAACTTGAAATGCCACGTGAGCCCGGCCAAGCCCAAACCGGTTTGGAGGGACAGGAACTGCTCAGCAGGACCAACGCTAAAGGTCGATTCCTAACTCGTTCCCGAACAACCCGACATGGATTTATTAGTTTTAAATGATCTGAACATTCATGGCCTACCAGGCCCGATGTATTTACTATTCACTCGCACTGACCCGGAGTTCCCTCTCTGCAGCTCCGAGCTGTGGACCAGAATCAAAGCGAAGGCCCTCAAAGCGGTTCCGAGCCAGAAACAGCGCAATGTCTGCTGTGCCTGAGATGGAACACTGGGAAGTCCCTAGGACAGGGACGGGGTAGGAAGGCAGAGACGGGCTGACGACGGGGAGGCAGGCCCCGCGGTGCCGAGGGAGGACTCCGCTGGAGGAGCTGTCAGTACCACGGGAGGTGGCGCAGCAAGGCCTGCAGACTCCCTGGGCTGGTTGGAACAGCGGTGACCGACAAGTGCAGACCAGGGGACAGGAGGGCAGGGGCACACGCAGGGGTCAAGGCACAAGTGTGGCAAGTACTGACCACTCCGGTATACAGCTTGGTAATGAAGGGAAGCAGAGACCCAGGACGTGAGACTCGCTTCCCTTTTGGATGCCTCGTTTCTAAATCCACGGAACAAGGGGTATGGAGCGTGTTGTCCCTGAGGCCCTTCCAAGTCTCAAATTTGGAGAAGAAACCCGACACGCCTTTATCGCATGACCAAGACTTTGACCTATAGTATTCAACTCGGGTGCGGCTGGTTCTGCAGCAGACAACCCAATGTCACTTAAGCTAATATAATTAACACAAAGAGCTGTCACTGCGACCTTCAGAAAAGCTCATGTTCGACCCGACTGAGACACGTGTTAAGGCTACTGCTCAGTGTATGCCAGGGGCTGGCTGACAGAATCTCAGTGACCGTCAGACAAGCCTGCGTGTGGAGTCGCCATGAGCCTTAGTCACAGGTGAGATGGGGAAGGACCCCGACTCGGCTGCCCGGCTGGCAGGACAGCAGAAGCCCGTGCTCCGCCCACGGGGCCACGGCCCGTCCCACTGCGGCCACCATGAGCCACTCAGCTCACTTCCAGTTACTCACCTACCAGGTGGACTCAAAACTCAGGCCAGGGAGGTGGTAAGTCAGTCAGTCACACTGCGACCACAGAAATGGTCGCCTTTTTCTCATTTCATAAGCTTTTTCTTTCCGGATTACAAATTTCAACTAAGTGCGTCCCATACCGCTTCTTAATGACAGAGTGCTGGTCCAGGGACACCAACGGTAATACTCTGGGCATGTCTAAAGAAGCATCAGAGAAAGTCGAAAGCTACTCCACACCTTGAAGATCAACGAGGATGCTGCCAGACCTTGGGTAGGACAATGCCAAGGACAAGAGTCGGCCTCCGACAGCTCCCTGCTCCTGCCTCCCTGAGAGGTCGGACCTGCGGCCTAGAACCACAAAGGTTCGCAACGACGTGCTCTAGCTTCACCACTGAGCGCACTCAGCTTTTCCTGAGCAACACTCAAAGACACTTAAGCCAATGACTTGGACTGTCATCTTTTCCAGAAATGAGTTCTAACTTTAAAAAGAAGAAAGAAAATAGCCTAAGTGTAAGGTATTAATCTATGTGCTATTTAGTAAAAACAAAAAAAAAACCTTACCTGCGTTCTTCCAGTGCAGATGTTTCTTTGGAACTTTGAGAATTTAAGATCTTTTCAATTTTCTCAACTGATCGAATAACTTGTATAAGTCTCAACACACACATCTATAAATATTAAAATTAAGCAAAAAAATGTTATGATGTTTAATCTTAATTATCTGATTTCCCCAAGCTAAATGCAGGAAAACACAAACCCAAAAGTCAACTTAGAACATCTGGAGCATCCTACGTGTTGAATATCTATGTAACACTGGACTCCCAAGGACGTAAATCTTAGTTCTGGCTTTCTACAACAAGTGCATTTGATATTCTATTGCGAGTTTATAAAAATAAACTGGACCTTTTGCTTTCTCAAATTCTGTACTTATTCCTTCTTCTTCTTCCTATCTTAAATGAACCTCTCTACATTTATCATGTCTCAATGTGTCAATTCATTAAATACATTATTACACTACAAATACAATCAAAGAGGTTGAGGAACATTACAAAAACTCTCATCCTCAAAAGGACAGAAAGATACAAAGTCATTCATATAACAAACAGTCGCTGACCACCTATTTTGAACAGAAATTCTTCTCAAAAGTGGGGACCTGAGTGAACGAAACAGTAAGAATTCACTGCTGTCATGAAGCTGATAACCTTTCCCAGAATGCACTTCCTTCTGAAATCTTCCAACCAAAGCTCAGAGGATGCTGTTAAGAGGACACCTAAAGATACTTAAACAGAAGGTCTCTATAACAGGCTTCTCTCCTTGACTAATAATTTTAAAAAACGTTAACCAGTAAAATTAGAAAACACCAACAGCACCAGGCTAGAGTTTGAAGTCTTGAATCCTAATTCCAACTCCGCCACTGTATCATTATGATGATACATAAATCAGAAACTACAATAAAAACGCAGGCCACTAGAGAGGAAAGGCAGTGCACGGAGAGGGTTTTTACAGGAAGGAAACCGAAGGGTTCCCTCGGTTTCGAACGAGGGCTGACCCCCGAAGTTCGGGCTCTCGTCGGGGCCGAACGAGAGCCGACACGCGGCTTGCTGACGCGCGAACCGGCGGTACCACACTGAAAGGCGCGCTCCGAGAGCCCATCCCCAACCCCCGAAGTGCGGGAGCCTTCTGTACAGGAGCGATGGGAACACGTGTGCCTCCGCAACGGCAAACTGCCTCGCTGATGTCGGTCCCTACACCTTCTCGTTAGGGGAAAAATGAGGTGTTTTCATTGACGCCCCTGGGTACCTCTGAGATTCTGCTTTAGCATTTTAAATACATACCACGACATTATAATGCAATGCAATGCAATGCAATGCAATACAACTGTCAAAGAACTTCAGGGAAAAATTTCATAGTAATGAAAAATATGCACAGGCACGCAGCCTGTGAAACCTACAGTTTTCTTTAAAATTGTTAATGCTACCACAAATGAGCTACGGCGTGAGAATACTATAGGATCTGTTGTCCTTGAAAGAATTCATTACTTTAGCACACCTCTGTGTAAGCTTCCCAGGAGTGAGGAGACCTGGGCCGAGGCCCTGGCCCTGGCCCTGACTAGCCTGGCTCGGCTACAACCCCTCAGGACGAGCGAGACCGTCATCTCCTGTTCCGTCTCCTCTCGGCAAAGGGACCGGAGGGGCGAACCAGGTCACACGCGCGGAAGGGCCTTAACTCCGAGGGGCCACCACGGGTGCTTGCTTCAACGGCACGACACTTCGCTGTACCTTTTTCTCCCGAATGTCCTCTTGTTTAGACACCTGTTCATCTACTGCTCGGATACCTTCACTGATAGACGACCGGAGACTCTAAAAAACAGAGAAAGTGTGAAAATGTTTGGTAACATTGTGAAATTCACACAGTCAGTTCAGTTCTTCAGAAATGCATTCACGTATTTAATTCAATTCCAGTATCTGCAGGCCAGTATTACACAGAGACTGATATAAATACGAAGGCTCAGGCACAACTGTTGTTGCTTTTGGGGCGTAATGACACATAAAGCCGAGGTCAAACAGGGTAATGACTGAAAGAACAACAGTGCACACACACTGGGAGCCTCAGAGGGTCAGGGCAGAGGAAGGGGGTTCTGGGTCTGAGTCCGGGAGAGCGCGGCCGTGGGGATGGGGCTCGAGTTCGATTCTAACGCGTGTGCAGGCTGACTCGGCGGGGAGGATGACCCTGGGTGCGCTGTCGGCCCCCCTGTGGGGAGCAGTAGAAATAAGAAGGGGTTGTTTAGGAGGACTTCACTTAGACAAGGTGAGGTCTCTAGACAGACTCTATACATTTTCGGAGAACTAACGAATTTTTAAGTGCTAACGGATCATGACGTAATGTCGTTTGGGGAATACTGGGAAGAGGGAAGAGACTGGCCAGGAAAAGGGACAGGTCGTAGGTGGAGAAACACGCCCAGGAGCTAACGAATTTAGCCAAGTATGAGATGTCTAGGAATGAGGTCCAAGATACAGGTAAGAAGAACAATGACAATGAACTGGACAAATCACAAAAATTCTGTCGAAAGGTGGTTCATTCACTCGCTGAACATTCTGAAATACCCACTAACTGCTGGCTGTTGTGGCAGCTGGAGAGGACACGACGACAAACGGGACGGAAACGAACCCCTCAGTGACCACAGGACCTCCAGCCGGTTCGGGAGCTGAGCTTGAAGGGGGAGAGGGGTTGGTGGCTGGCCCTGCCCGGGAGTGGCTGACTCGGAGACAGGCAGCAGGCTATGAACAGGGAGGGCGGGGCGGGGCCTGTGCCTGTGAGAGCCCAGGCCCGCCAGGTCTGAGCGGGTGTACCACGGGGACGGCGCTCAGTGAAGAGTCCGAGGTTGGCAGAGGCTGCACAGCCAGGAGGCCAGGGGCAGAGGGGCACCATGAAGACGGCAGCAGAGCCAGGCAGGGGCAGACGTGGAATCCAGTAACTCCACGTCCATTCTAAGGAAGAGTATGTAAGGAGCTTTTGCAAAATTCAAGCAAGATCTAAACATTCCAGAATAGCTGCTGCTTCCAGGCGCAGCTCCGGAAACATCCCTTATGTGAGTTCTTTCCTGCCTGCCCCTCCTGGGAACTTCGCACCATGACGCTGTCACTGTGCGCTTCTTCAGCTCTGTCTGAGGGGCTCGGTGCACAGGGCCACTCAGCTGGCCTGCTCTGGGGTGGTGTCACACCCAGGCGGTGACGGTGGATGCAGCAGATGTGAGGGAGTGTTTCAGAGCCATGGAGCGGGAAGGCTGGGAGTCTGATTCGGACTGGGGCGGGGTGGGAGGAGGGTCGGGACGGGACAAGGCGGCACAGCTTTCTGCTGGAAGGGACGCCCAAAGTCCCCTCCACACTTCCTGCTGACGCAGTCCCTGCGCCCAGGGACTTAAAGGCCAGGGGGCGGGAGGTCCTATTCCCCCGGCAGAGACTTTCTCAGAGGAGCGATAAACTGTGCGGTGTACTGAGTACGCACTGCACTGACGTTACCCTTCAGTTAGATTAAGTGGTGAACAGCTTCCAGGGACCAGTGTGGAGGCATCTCCACATGTAACACTGACTGGAGGAGTACTTGTGAAAGTACTGCAAACTTTAAAAACATAAGCCCCTCGTAAGTTGGAGATTACTTACACACGAGAGAGGTAGCGCTCACAGGCTGGATTCTGAAAGAGCCTGCTTGCTCTACCCGACACTTCAAAGCTGTCTACTCTGAGAAGCTGTCATCGTCAAAACCAACAGGTTTTTCGGTTGTGACATCACAAGCAAAAAGCGAGAATCACCTCCACCTTCTCTGAAGGCGTGTGCTAGTCTCGAACTGCTGAGCCACGCCCGCCTATCAGACATGGGGGTTCCTGGAGAAGGCACACGGGCAGGACACGCAGGATGGGAGACTTACCAGAACTTCTTCCCGCAGCTGTCCCAGAGGCACGGAGAGCTGGTTGAGGGCTTTGTCCATGCCAACCTGCGGGCAAAACCACGTTGGCACAAACACGTCAGAACCAGCAGTGACAGCGACGCGTCTGTTCAGTGATCAGAACAGTACTGTAGGTTCTTATTATGCGAAACCACATACTGGCAAGCACCTGGCTAGATAACACACGCTACTTTGCCGTCAATATTGCTCCTAGAATACGAAAAAACCTGTTGCTATACATGAAACAATGAAAGAAGGGAAGTCATAATAAGTGAAAGCTTCCTTAGGCACGGTTTGCCTTTGGATGAAATTTTGAATGATTTGAAAAGTTTTAACAGGAAGTGCGTACCAGCTGACGTGCGAGTCTGACAGATGGGCTCCATTTCCTCTAAACATGATTACAACCTTTGAGAAAAATCCAAATTAAATAAATGGGACATAAAATATTTTGAGTTTCTAATTCACATCTACCACATTTACCTTAGTGGTAGATTTCCCAAAGCAAATATGGCTCATTAAGTTTAATGCTTCCTGAAATTCCCATGGAGATGAGTACTTTCTGTACTTCTTCAAACAAACAAATTTAAAAACAAGATAAAATATGAACAAGACAACTGTTTTGCAAGTACTAAAACGTAAGCGTTTCTGAGCCAACCTTTATAAACGCCTCGCAGGTTCATTACAAACCACTCTCGGATCTTTGTAAAACCAAGCCCCCTACACAGCAACGGCAGCCAAGGGCCCCCACCCGGGCTCCAGCCAGCAGCTGCCAGAGCAAACGACAGACTTCCTTTAGAACAGCTGAGCCTTACTCTTGCACATCAGGCTCAGCCAGTGAGATGTCACGGCAATCACTTGGCAACTAGCAGAAACAAGTATTTTGATAGTATTATTGTCCTTTATTTACATATTTATTTATAAATATGTATGTATATAACTTACGTGTAACTACATATACATATATATAGCTTTCCTTAATAACTAGTTTAAAAATAACCTAGAAGAGTCTTAAATGAGGAAAACCAAAAATGTATACCGAGAGACTTTAGTTCTTTTGTTAATTAATGAACTGAGCCATCTCTTTAGGTTTCTGAGGGAAGAGTCATCTGGAAGGTTCTGAAAAGACCCAGCACTCTGGAGGACAACCCTGAGTCCAGGAGCAAAGTGTGGGCGCACGTGTACCGACTGGCGGGAAGTGCAGATGTGAGGGTTACCAAGTTTGTGGAGAGGTTGACAAAATCCGCATAGTCCTTGTTGATGAGTTCCACCATGGCCGTCTTAAGAAGCTTGTAGTAGAGCTCCAGGTCATCTCTCAGCTCCTCCAGCTGCACACGCTTCCGGCAGTCAGAAACGAAGTGATCGACGTCGAAGTCGTCCTGAAAATAAGACCGGGAAAGCAAAAACCGCTGCAATGATCCACTTGGTGCGTAAAAGCAAAGTGTGAGGAAGCGCTGGTGGGGAAGGCCGCCCGCCTACCCCACACTCTGCACACGCCGCACACGCCACACACACTGCCCGCGCACGCTGCGCACACCGCAGGGCTACGGGACGTTCTCAGCGAGCACAGCGTGGCACGGGGTCCTGCGGACTTTCCGAAGGTGCCGGGGGGCCCTGACCCAAAGCGTTCTCCCCAATGCCTAAATCTCACGTGGGATTTTATTTCACTTTTTTAATTAGACAGTTCAAATGGGCTCTTCTCAGAATAGAAACAATTGTCCCCCTTAATTTTAAAAGTAACAAATGTCCAGCCTAAAACTTTCAAAGAAGTAACTGTGTACAGATTTAAAAACTCACCCACACTCTGATACTCTGCAGTTAAATGCTATTTTATTTTTCACTATTTAACATTGTGATTCACACCCTGCCAGATTTCTTTTCTGGTCTCTTCTCTCTTTAAAATATGAACTACCTTTTAAAATCGAGATACAACTGACACACATCATCACACTGGCGCAGGTGCACAGCACAGTGATTCAGTGTCCGTGTATGCTGGCTAAGTCGTGAACATTCACGCCACGCAGAAATCCTTTCTTGTGACGAGATCTTAATTTGCTCCCAGAAACCTTCGACCACACAACACAGCAGTACTGTCACGGGGCTGTCCCCACGGCCCCTGGACTTATCTACCTTATGAAGACTCGAACCCCTGCACGCATTTCTCCCCACCTGCCACCACCTGTTCTCTGCACCGACGTGCCTGGTTCTGGTGGCACTTTTTAGACCCATGTACGACCGAGGTCACAGGCGTCCGTCCATCTCTGAGTTGTTACACTGAGCTTGACGGCCTCAAGGGCCACCCCTGTTGTCACAAATGCTGAGATCCGGACTTTTCAACGAAGTATCTGCACGCAAAGGGACGAGTCTGGACACCAACCTCCCACGACACGCGGAAATCTAACTCAACACGGACTGTGACTCACACGTAAGAGATGAACTGTAAAGCTTTCGGATGAAAACAGGTGGGAATCTGTGTGACCTCGGGTCAGGCAATGATTTCTGAGAAAGGACACCAAAAAGCATGGAAAACAATACGTAAGTTGAATGTGATCAAGATAAAAATGTTTGTGCATCAAGAATACGTGAAGAAAGTGAAAAACAACCATAGAACGGGAGAAAAATATTTGTACATCGTGTATCTGACGAGGATCTGGTATCCAGAGTACGCAAAGAACTCTTATGACTCAACCACAAAGAGACAAAACACCCAATTAAAACATGAGCCAAGGATCGGAACAGACAATTCTCCAAGGACACCGCGCCCTCGGCCGACAGCCCTGTGTGCAGAGATGCTGAGCATCGCTGACCAGCAGGGAAGTGAGAATGGAACCGCAGTGAAACACCACTTCACACCCACCAACACGGCCACCGTACGGTGAGGAAAAAGAACAAAAAGTACGTGTTGGTGAAGAGACACTGGAACCGTCATCTGCATGGTACAGCTGCGTGGAAACCAGTTTGGCAGTTCCTTAAAAATCAATCATAAAATTGCCCAGCAATGCCACCCCTGAGAGAACCAAAAACTGGTGTTCACACACAAGCGTGTATATGAATGTTCTAACAGCAATTATGCATAACAGGAAGAAAACCCCAAAGCCCCTGAAATATGCATCCACTGATGAATGGGTAAACAAAGTGTGGTAGGCCCACACACGGTGGAATACCATTCAGCCATAACAAGGAATAAAGCACTGCTACAAGCTGGAGGAACCGTGCAAACACTACGCCAAGTGAGGAAAGCCAGACACACGGCCACACACTGAACGATCCCACTGATACGAGACGTCCCAGAAGAGGCAAGTCTGTAAGGACAGAAAGCGCGTTAGTCGCCGGGGACAAAGAGGGGGAAGAGCTGGAACGGGCAGGTGCCAGGCTTCTCTCTGGGCAGATGAAATGTTCTGGAACCAGACAGTGGTGACGGGTGCACAGCACCGGAACTACACTGAAAACCGATGATGTATAACAGGGAATTTTACATTATGTGAATCACATCTCAATTACAAACAAATAAGGAGGCACATACAGCTACACTGAGTAAGAATGGAACAGTGCTGGCAAAGAGAGACATGTCACAGGACAGAAGACAGCCGCACAAACACACAACGACATCGAATAGTCTTCAACACATGGAGCTGAGCGAGGGGCCATTCGCACGCAAAAAATGAACAAAGGCACCAACAATCTAAAAATTAACTCAAAATAGACTTATATGTAGAACGGAAAACTTCTACAAGAGGAGAATCTAGATGCCCTTGGACTTGGCAATGACCATTTAGATACAACACCAAAAGTATGAGCTATGAAAGAAAAAAATCGATGACTTGGATTTCACTAAAATTAAAAACCTCTCTGCAAAACACACAGTTAAGAGAATGAAAAGACAAGTCACAGAGTAAACATCTGTAGAACACGTACATGATAAAGGACTTGGATCCAAAATGTACAAAGGATTCTTAACAATAAAAAATCAAACCCACTTTTAAAATGGGCCATCTTGTGGGCTATTTTTGATGCTATTTTAATTATCCCATCTCCCAGAGCTCCCCGCTGAGGCCTCTGGAAAGCCCAGTGTTACCCGATTTTCCCGGGACTGAGGCCTGGGAGCCAGGAGATAAGGGCCACGATTTGTCCCAACCAGTTGTGTGACAGTGGGGGAAGCCACCACACCGCTGGGCCTCAGGTTCCTTGTCTGCAAACCAGACACACTGCCCAGTGTCATTTATCACAGAAACATAAAATGGCAGGAGCTGCAAAAGACTACAAACATTATCTGGACCCGTGCCACCCTGTTACGCCAACGAGGAAACTGGAGCCCGCAGGGAGCAAAAGTCGCACCTGGCGAGCAGCACAGCTGACACCGGGGCCCACAGCTCCAGGCCACTGCTATCCCACCCGCACGGCACGATCCGAGTGGCTGCTCCTTCTTCCCTTTTCATTTGTCCATTAAAAAACACGCTCTGCGGGCACAGGGGCACCACAGGACACACTTCCTGCTTCAATATTCATGGTTCAGCCAATTTGAAGGGGGAGGAGCTCAGTGACTCGCTGGGCTTCTACGAGTTCTTTAACATAGTGTAGATGCTTATCGTCACCGCAGGGAGGGTTTCCGATTCCTCTTTCCATCACAGGCACACGTGCCTACGCTGCTGCCACCCAAGCCGCTAAGCGAGGGAGGTTTAGGACGGGAACCAACGAGCAGAAGTTCAGTGGAGGCTGGTCTGGGCTCAGCACAGAAGCAGACCGTTCACCGAGGAGAACTACCCTGGACGGAATGCACTGCGTTTCGGAAAGTCTCCCGTGACCAGGGGGACTGAGGGGCCCCGTCGCTGCTCTGGACGTGCATTCCGAAATGAGCGCACTGCCGCGATGTAGGCCGTGGACTGAAAAACGGCACCCAGACGCCAGGAGGGTAGTCAAGAAGCCGCGACAGGACAGCAGGAAAAGGGGAGATGGAGGGAAGCAGATGGACCGGCGGTGCTCAGCAAGTGAAATCCGCAGGGCTTGGTAGCAGACTGGATTTGACTCACAGCTGGATGGACGGGGGAGCAGCCACTGAAGTGGGGAAGCCCAGAGAACGAGTCTGGGTGCTGGGTGCTGGGTGGGGAGTGCTCACGGGTTCAGTTCTGGACAGGAGTCTGAACGTGAGTGGCAGAGAGCTTTCCAAGAAGAGACGTTAAGGAGAAGTTGAGTATACGGGTCGGCGCTCAGGAGACCTTTGGGCCGGGGACACCTACCTATAGGTGGTCACTGAAGCTGCAGGAATCACCAGGGAAAGGAGAGGACATGTGACTGAGCCTGTAACAGGCCAGCTGATGGCTTCGAGGAGGAGAGCGGCTATGCACACTTGACGGAGACCAGAGCGGTGAGGAGAGGATCAGAGGGCTCTGTGGCGAGCGTCTGGTCTGCTGCGAGGTCACGCGGGGGGAGAGAGAAAGGACTGGGCTGGTAGCAGCTTTGGTGAGAACTGCTTACTGGAATGGTGGGGCCAGAAGACAGAATGGAATGAGTTTACAAGTGACGGGTGAGCGGGCAGGGAGAGCTCTGAGCCTTTGGCAGTGACACTGAAGAGACAGCAACAGGGCAGCAATGAGAGGCAGGAGGACCGAGCGGAGGAGACTAAAACAGGAGTGTGTTGGAGAGCCAGTGGCAGTGAGCACAGAGCAGTGAGCTCCAGCCCCAGTGGAAGAGTTGCCCGGGAGAGGGAGGAGGGGCCCTGCCCACAAGCTGAGGAGGAGGAAGAAGATGAGCATAAACACGAGAATGGCGCTGGTGTCCGCAAGGTGAAGGAGTTCCCGTCTGATGCCTCTGCTTTTTTCTGTAAAACGGGAGACGAAGTCACACGCCGAGACGGAAGGGGAAGGCTATGATTTCAATAGCTCATTTGGGCAAATGGGTCTAGTTGAGCTCAGCTTGCCACTTTCTCTCTCCTACTGCCAGTATCTTGTGTCCAATTTCATCTACTAGTTCGCTGTCAACCCTCTGCGGAGTTTTGTACCCTCTTAAAGCTGAGGGAGCTAACAACGTGATGTCACCACCACTGTGGCCCCAAGAGGTTCTTCCACTTGCCGCTCCTGCCTCCGATCGCCTGCATCACTCACAAACACCTCCCCTCCCCTGTGCTTCTTGTCACATCTCACAGGACCACGGAGATAACTTTTTAAGTAGCCTCCTGCCTCCAGTCAGCTCCAATGCAACAAATGTGGCCAATTTTCTGCTTTAAACTGGACTGCAACTCCACAGTGAGGCATGCACAAACCCCTCACGGTTGTATCAAGGCTCAAGCATCAGCAATCCCCCTGCCCCAAGTACCTCACCGGTCTCATTCCTGGCCACGCTGCACACTCCAGCCATACTGTGCAATTTCTCGCCACACGCGGTTCTCCTAGCACCGTACTCAAGAGCCGAAACCACACGGTGCCTATCCCTGTACCACCGTGTCTAGACTGCTGGCTGGCACACAGCGGGTGACTGACGATGCCTGTTTTGTTAAATGAGCAACTGCAATCATGTCCCCACAGGGTCCCTGTCAGGCTTGACAGGCGAATGACAACAGTTTCCAATCAAATGACTGGATTTCAAGTAATCTCAGCATTCCTGATGCAAACCTGACATTCCCTAACTTCCCCACAGGCATAAAACCTACAAAACTACATAATGTGTCGAATGAGACACAAGTCTGGAAGTATAACCCCAAAAGCAACCTCTCCACTCAGCCTTTCTGCCATGGAATTACAACTTACAAACATCTCTTCAGAGGAAACACAAATCGCAATTAACCTTTACCTCCGGGCCCCACCCAGAAAGTCAATACCGTTTCACACAGAAGAGCTGTTCTTTATTTTTACACCCACACAGCAAGGGGGCACACTTACTGGCACTACAAATTGATCGTATGGCACAGTCAGAGGTTGAACAGCCACGGAATGTGAGATGACTGGCACTCCAGCCCCTTCCCCAGTCCGCCCTCTCCCTACGCATGTCCTGAGATTTCTGCTTTCTGAATCCGCTTTTAGCAAAGGCATTGCATCAGCTTAGGCTGAGAAGGACAGTGAGTCAGAACGAGGACTGCCGCCGGGCCCGGAGGAAGCCTGAAGAAGACCAGGGATGGCCAAGTGTTGCTGTGCTCCAAGATCCCTGAAGTCAGAACAAGGGCCCGACCTCCACGGGCTCCTTTTCTTCTTCCAGCAGGTATCCTCTCCCACCAGGTATCCTGAGTTTCTCCCTGGCTTCAGGGCAGCTCCCAGCCAGAGGGCGGGATGAGGGATTTCTGGATCAGTGAGTTGCCCCTGCACTCTCTTTCAGATACCCCATTTCAGTTCCTCCTTTAAGTCTAGTGGCTGGGCAGAAACACCACTGCACAAGGCCCAGAGGACATTACTCCTGGGCTTGGAGAGCCCTGCACACTAAAAATGATACGGCCACACCGGAGAGACCCAGACATAAATCCTTGTTTAAAACCAGTTTTGGAGATGTGATCAGAAAGCAAGTATCAAAATGAGATAGGTTATTAACCTAGAGAAAGAGAGATCATTATGACTGGAATGCATCAAAAAACACAGAGCAAGAGATTTAAACTCACGTGTTCAAAACTTTAGGTGTCTAAGAACTTTAACTGTTTAACACTGAACCCAGCTACTAAGTGGTGTCAAAAATCGCAAGCCTTAGAAATGAAACATACATACATACACACTTTTGTTTCAGTGCAGACCCAGAGGGATACATACACCAGGTAGCCAGACAAAGTTCCTCCCAGCTCTGATTCAAATCTTGGACATTTCCAAGGCTGGACCTGACTCATCTTCATGATCAATAACATGTATTCAGTTTATATTTCTAGTCTGTGAGTTCATGTCCTATAGTTACCAACTTCCAATTCATCTGTTCAAGTGGGGCAGCATTAGAAAATGAGAATGCTTCGCTTCGTCCTAATGCACCAAAATCAGTAAGAACATTCGACTCCTTTAACTATCTCATTCCAGAAGCTTTAAGTTAACGTTAGGCAAAAACTTTGGACTAAGTGCCTTTTTGTTCAGTCATAGTTCCTGAGCCACACGTGCCAGACACTCGTCACCAAGCTCCTGCCTGGCAAGGGGACAGACAATCTGAGCGCACGGCACAGTAACAGGGTCGGGGAACGACAGGGGGCTTTTACACTGAACTCAAAACTCCTTGCCCAGAACCGTCAGGCCTTTTAACTCAATAAGCACGTTGTCCCTGAAGTGCTCTCTCCAGAGAGCACTGAGGCCAAGACACTCCCTACGAACTGCAGCGAGGTCCCCGCCGAGGGCACCAGGGCAGGAGAAGCCCGACGAGAGTCCCCAAACGGCAAGGGACCGCAGGCCACCCACGGCCCGGCTCCGCGGAGCGCACCTTCATGAACTCGTCCTTGTCGAAGCAGAGCGTGTCCGGCCCCTTGGGCAGGTTCATCCTGCTTTTCTCCATCCCGCCGGCCGCCGCTTGTCAGCGCCGAGACACCAGCGAGGTGAAGAAGCAGGGAACGGCGCCCACCGACGCCTCACCGATCCACCACCGACGCCTCACCGATCCACCACCGATTTCCACGGCACAGGAGCCACCGCTTCCGCCAACATGGCTGCGCCCGAGCCGCGGCCAATGAGCGAGGGCGCCGCGGACGGCCTCCGCTCACGCGGCCAAGAGGGGAACGAGGGCCGCCCTCGTGGTGCTGCAGGTGGCGCTGCCCCCGTGCGGCGGAGGGCGGCACTGCACCCAGGGCTGAATGTCGGCCCTTGGGTTCTCAGGCCGGTCTTCCAGCCTTGGGCCCATCACCGGCTCATTCCCCTGGTCCGTCCCCGTCCGCTGCCCAGCGGCGCCCGCCCTGGTGCTGAGGCCTCTGCGGGAGACTCGGGCCTCCGCCCTCAGCCTCGGCGCCCACAGGCGAGCGTAGCACCCCCTCCCATGAGCCCAGTTCTAAGGGAAGAAAAGGTGGTCAGCTGGGCAGCCCCCTGCTCAACTCTGGGCTCATTTTCTAAGGCAGGCAGCTTCAAAGGCACAACTTTGACCCTTCCAGGCTTTTAAAGGAGTGCCTCACCACCTGCGTCATCAAAACACAGCAGATAAATAGGTGTGCATACGTAGTTGTTCTTAATCAAGACCAGAAATAGACAAATTTTGTGTCCGGTGCCTGGCAATTTCTCACACTTTCTTCCGCCCCCCCTCCTCCCCCATCCCAATTTTATTCCTGGATTTTCTTCTCTTCCTTGCTCTGACTCCCATAGTTCCTTCCTCTAGCTGCGAATGCCGTAATGAGTGGTGAGCATTCATTTCTCTTTATCTGCTCGAGACTCTGACAATCAAACTGCCAACCTCACTTTACACTCTTCACCCTCTATGTCTTTCCTTCCCGCGAGGCCTTGCTCCTCCGGATGGGGCTAGGCTGTTGCCCCCAATGCTGTTTTTCCTTCGGAGAACACATTAACCCTAACAGCCCTCAGAAGAAGTGGGACAGAGAAAGACAATACCTTCAAGTGAGACTCCTGTATTCAAGTTACTTCAAAGAGGAGACTGGTCACTTTCAAAATGTGGGTGTAGGATCCAGAACAATAGCCTCCCCACCCGTGGGCCTGGCAAGCCTCATTGAGGAGACTATTCCCCGCCAGAGTCTGGAGAAGATGATGGATGAGAGCTGGAACCAGCCCAGAGGGGTGGAAAACTGTCAGGGGAACAATTATGAAAAGTCCCGGTGATGTCTGTTTCAGTATGGGAATCAAAAGCCTCATTGTTTGGCCCTGGCTGGTGGGGCTGAGTGGATTGAGCACTGGCTGGTGAACCCAAAAGGTTGCAGGTTTGATTCCCAGTCAGGGCATTTGCCTGGGATGCAGGTCAGGTCCCCAGTAGGGGACGTGTGAGAGGCAACCACATACTGATGTTTTTCTCTCTCTCTCCCTCCCTTCCTCTCTGTCTAAAAATAAACTAGATAAAATCTTTTTTTAAAGCCTCATTGTTTGGTTTTTGTTTATTCACTGTCATTATAAAAATTTCCCATTAACACGAATGTCTCCTCAGAGAGCACAGGGGTCACCCCCGCTGCAGACTCATCACCCTGCTTCCACCGTCGCCAGCCCTGTGCTGTGCCTGTGTCCTGGGTCCTCCTCCTGCCACGCCACTGCCACTTTCTTTTCTGGCTGGAATATATTGTAAAGCGGATCCCAAACATCCCATCATTTCCTGCTCCCGGAATGCCCCGGTTTCCACGTCGAAGAAGAGGAGGAAGGGGAAGAAAGGACATTTGGTTACACACCCAAGGTGCCAGCATCTGACCTGACAAAACCAACGGTTCTGATAACCAACCCCTCTCAGCTCTCGGAGGTGCAGCTTTCAGCCCAAAGCCTCTGTCAATGAGTGACGGGCGTGAACCCAGGGGGCACACATTCAAAGCCCATTCAAAGCTCTTTACATGACCCGGCAATTCCACTTCTGGGTGTTTACCCAAAGAAAACAAAATGAGTTTGAAAAGATATATGTACCTGTGCATGTTTATTGCAGCCTTATTTATAACAGCCAAAATATGGATGGAAGCCAGGTGTCTATCAACAGATGAATGGATAAAGAAAATGTGATATATATATGGGATATTATTCAGAAATTAAGAGAAGGAAATCTCGTCATTTGTAACAACATGGATGAATCTTGAGAGCATTATGCTAAGTGATAGAAGTCAGACAGAGAAAGGCATGATATCATTTACATCTGGACTCTAAAAATGAAAAACCAGAAATGAGCTCATAGACACAGAGAACTGATCACAGGTCACCAGAGGGGTAGGGGTGGGCATCAGGGGTGAGGGGCTGAAAAGGTACAAACTTCCAGTAATAATTAAGTCCCAGGGATGTAGTATACAGTAAGGTGACCGGAGTTAATAATATGTATTGTAGAGTTGAAAGTTGCTAAAGAGAGTAAATCTTGTAAGTTCTGATCATAAAGAAAAAAATGGCGACCATGTATGGTGATAGATGTTAACTAGACTTACTGTGGTGATCGTTCTGCAGAATACACAAATATTGAAACATTATGTTGTATGCCTGAAACTTGCATGTCCATTACACCCAAATGAAATAAAAATACGCACAGACAAAAACCTTCATCACCGTATTATTATGGCACCTCAAAAAGTCAGCAACACTTTCTTTATATCGTAAACTACCCATCAAATTCAAATCCCTCCGACTGCCAGACTTCTAAATCACTGATCTGAACTATCGTGTCGATAGGACCTCCATGCCCTGCCCCCACCGCATTGCATTTGGTGGTTATAACTCTTAATTCATGGGTTGCTCTTCTTTTCGTCTGCCTTGCAATCCTCTAAAATACTTTCTTACTTTTCAGTGACAGTTGGCATGCGATACTATGTTAGTTTCAGGTGCACAACGTAGTGATGAGACATTTGTATAACTTAGGAACCACACACAGTTATTAGAATGTCATTGACCCTGTTCCATGTGAGGCACATCTCTGACTAATTTGATAACTGGCCCTTTCTTAATGACTTCTTAATCCTTTCCCCTTTTTAACCCATCTCCCCAACCCCCCTCCCATCTGGCCATCACCAGTTAGTTTTCTGTATCTAAAAGTTTGTTTCTGTTTGTTTGCTCACGTGTGTTTTAGGTCCCACATATAAGCGAATTATGTGGTACTTGTCTTTCTCTGACTTACGTCACTTAGCTAATCCCTCAAGGTCCGTCCATCCATGCTGTTGCAAATGGCCGGATTTGTGGCTGAGTAATATTCCATTGTAAACATGCTCACTCTTTTTCTCTCTCTCTCTCTTTCTTTCTGGAAATTAGACTTTTGATGGCAGCATTTGAACAATTTACATTGACAGAAATCACTGACAGATGCAAGCTGGGTAGGGGGGAGTCAACGAGAAAGCAGTGGCTTCTGTCCTCACATAGGTCTGGGGTCACAGTGGCTCCCCCAGCCTTTGCTCTGAAGCCGAACAGTGCAGTTCCTCCTCGGAGGATTCTGGCACTTTCCAAGCTCCTGCCCCAGCGCTGGAGTTCCGAGCAAGTGGGTATGCCAGTGAGTAACTCCCTGCACCGGCCCCTAAGGGGAACCTGGGACTCCCATGAGCACCAGTCCCTGCCAGAGTTCACATCCAGACTCATGGGGGTCGTCCTTCCTGCCTTGAAACCCTGGGCTGAGGAGCACCTGGGGGGGGACCCCCTGCTGTTTGCTGCTCCTCCAGACGGGACCCCTGCAGCCTGCGTATCCCCCCCCCCCCGCCCCCACCACATTGTTTCTTACCCGCCACACTGTGAGTGTGGGGCCCGCCCCTCCCGCATCGCCAGCCCTCCTACCTGTGTCCTTGGGGCTGCTTCCGAGTGTCCTCAATGCCGCAGGACTTCTGTTCAGCAGCTCTTAGCCGTTCCCAAGGGGCGTGTCCTGCAGTCGGGCTGTGGTCCTGCTGTGGTGCCGGGAGGTGAGCACAGCATCCGCCCGCTCTGCCGTCTTCCCTGGAATTTATTTGTGGAAAAACTCACCTCCTTTGTTCCGTAGTTTTGTCTGGAATGTGGAGACTGCACCCCACGGTGTCATCCCCCACCTTCCTCTGCCCCTCGTATTCCCTATGATCGGGGAGATGGGGGGCCTTGGAAAGTGCACATGTCGAGACCCCACCCTAAGGTGCAGTCAGGAGGGCCGGGGTGGGTGCTGGGAGTCTCCACTTTTCCTGAAGCCCCCAGGAGAGTCTCAGTCTGTTTGCCTCGAGTCTGGGAATTGCCAGCCCATCTGACTCTGCTGTGGCCACAAGTCAGCCTCAGTCACCGCGAGGACCAGAGATAGACAGGAAGGTCCCACTCTCCAGGGGTGGGCAGTGGGGGCGGGGTTGGGGGGTCACGGCTGGGAAGAGGCATTCGCTGTCTTTCATGGGTTAGCTGGAACTTTCGGGGAGCCCCAGCGCGTGTGCCCCCCCCTCTGATCCAGGTTAGGGCAACTTCTTAGTGATCAGGACCTTCCCTGGGTGTGTGTCGGGGGAGGAGCAGTGGTCACGCTGCCCTGGTTCCTGAGGACAAGCGCACTGTCCACTGGGTGGTGATTTCAGCCTGGTCTGAGGGCCACAGGGCGCTGATGGTGCCCCCTCTGCTCTGGGCAGCTGAGGCGGGAGGGCCTGGGACACAGGCCCAAAGCCATTGCTCTTTCTCGTCTGCAGACACTGCCTTCCCCCCCCCCCCAGGACCAACTGCCCCTCACCTGCGGAGATGTCCACTGCTAACAGCCAGCACCTCCCTGCCCTGCCTCGGCCCCCAGTGGTCAGGGTGGTCTTTGAATCCCCTCACGTCACATCTCCACCCTGTTCTAAGCCCACCCAGGACTCCCGTCCCATTGAAGACAAGACTCCTCACCACGGGTGACAGGCCCACTGTGGTCTCCGCTGCCTCTCCCATCCTGTCTTCACTCTCTTCTCCCTTCTCCCCCCCACCCAGGCCTTTCTGTGGGTCCCTGCCTCAGGGTCTTCGCATTTGCCCCGCTGCCTCCAGGGATGCTCCGCCTCCAGCTCCTCACGTGACCCAC